TCGAGATCAATAAGCTGAGAAGGCAAACAACTCAGGTGTCCTGTGATCATTCTGCCATGGCAGACAGACTCCTCTGGCCTCAGAGACCCTGGAGCCTAAAGGGACCTGACCACCTTCTCTATTTCCCACATACTGAAACCCTGTGCCTCCTAGGCAGCTGCTACTTCCTTACCCACACAGCCGATGGTCACCACCCCGTCCTTGTAGCGCTCCCGCGTGGGGCCTGTCGGCTCCAACGCTGAGTCAGTCTGCTGCTCCACCAGGACAGCCGGCCCATCCTCCTCTTCCTCCTCCTCCCCAGAGCCGTTACCCCAGGTGGCCCCGGCCACATCCCGGGCAATCTTCTCCCGCCAGCTGCTCAGGTCCACTGTGCAGGGAAGGAGAAAGAGGAGGTGGTTCTCCTCAGGGCCGCTGTCCACAACGGCAGAGACCATGCTCTGCACAGCCAAGGTATGGCGCCCTCTGGATCAGGTAAATGGCACCCCCTGGATCTCGTAGAGCCAAGCTGCATAACAGCAACCTCCCCCGCCTTCGCTTGACCCCACCCTGGAATCAGGTGCATTTCTGAGTTTCTAAAAAGCACCAGCAAGACTGAAGGCAGTCAGCCATGGGGGCTCCTGCCTCCCTGCTGCCTCTCTTGTCCTACCAAGTCAGGCAGCTTCCTCTCCTGGCCCTCCCTGTGGCCTCTTGCCTGAGTCAATACTAGAGGGAAGGTAAGCAAAATGATTCGGGGCCCTGGGTACCCACCACTGGCCCCCATGCCTCCCCTCGAAGGGGCACATACCTTTCCCTGCAGTGATGGCTTCACAGGCTCTCAGCAGCTGCTCTGGCCCCAGAGCCCGAGTCCATCCTCTTCCCCGCCTCCGACTCTTCTTCAAGACTGAGATCAGAGGGTGCAAAAGCATGAGCTCACCCCACAGGGCTCAGGTACCCCCTCTCTCCCACCATCCTCCCCAGATCAGGTCCTCCCTTTTGTCCCCTGCGCCCCCCCGCCATCTCCCACACTGCCCTCCTCACTGCCCACTCACCGCTGCTAGGGTCCTGTGGGGTGCGGGGATCCCGAGGGAAAGAGGTGAAAAGGACAATGTGGAGCTGGGGATAGTGTTGATGAAAATAATGCTTCCAGGCAACCACGAGAGCTGGCGGGGCCAGATCCACCTTGTTCAGGACAAGCACCAGGGCCAGCCCAAGCTCTCCAGTCACGTACTCATAAAGTGCTGGTGGGAAATTCACAACCTGGAACAGGATGTAAGAGGGAGTGATGCAAGGTCAACCCAGAGCTCTCTGCCTGCAGCACCCTACTCAGCAGGCACAGCTTGGAGAGAAGACCCTGGCGGTAGCAGATCCTGGGGTAACAAGGACAGATCAGCCAAACTGAACTAGGGAGACAGGAGCAGTGAGCACCTATATGTTTGTTTCTGGGCATTCCCTGGGGCCTGATTAGGGATGGTAACTAGCTAAAAACAAGGAGACAGACCTAGCAATCGGGGGCAAATGCTAGGATCACTCACAGGGATGAGGGCTGGGAGAGAAATTAATATCTATTTTTACACACACATCTGTCTACATGTGTACACAAGCTTATGTGTACGTGTGAGGCACGTGTGAGGTTTGCATTGATCACGTGTAGTTGTTTGAGTGTGTGAATGCACACGTATGTCTCCGAGTATGTAGGGGTGTATGTGTACATGTTAAGGACCTCCAACCTAAATGTCCACACAGACTTCAGACCTCCCTTTCCCCCCCAGGAGAACAACAGTGAAGTAGCACAGCCAGATCACAGGAGAGCCGTCCAGCAGCATGTCTAGAGCCTTAACCACTTACCCTAGCATCCCAAGTGAGGCTGAGTTCTGTAGTGACTCATATGGCAGGGAAGCCCACTTCACAGGCTTCCCTGGAGCGCCACACTGAGACTTCCTATTAGCCCTGGTGTGCTAGGAAACAGGGATAGTTTTCCATCAAAGGATTAAAGAACAGGAGAGGCAGTTGGCCAGAGGAGGAGTGACAGGCTCTGACACTGATGAATAAAGACTGAGTTCCCGACTGCAGACTTCAGCAGTGTAGAGGAGACTGGAAAGGAAGGGATTACCTCTCTGTCTCCCAACTACTGCCTCTGCCTTTTACCCCACCAAGAACCTCCCTCCCTCCTGCCCCTTGCCCACCCTCATCCCAGGACTCACTGGATGTCGGATATCAGTGATCAGCAGAACAATATCAGACATCTCTAACACTCGCCACAGCTGCCTCCATGTCTGAAAAGACAATATCAATGGAAGAGAACTTGAGCCCAGCGTCACTCTGCAGCCTGACTCAAACCAATCTGGCCATGGGTGACTATGCCCACTCCCGTCCCCGCTCAATTCTCACCTCCAGATTGTGCTCAAAGTAGCTGAGTTTCTCAGAGGTGTAAGCCCCATGAATCTTCCCAAGATACTCCTGGAAGCTCCGTTCCTCCTGGCTCATCAGTTGCTCCTTAGACATCTCATAGCTCCAAGGAGGACGTCGGGGAAAGTCCAGGACTGAGTTATCAAGAAAAAGTCCAAATAAGTTTTGAGATAGTTTCAAGACTCAAGGGTGCTTGTCTCCCAGACCTCTTCTTCCTCCCAGTCGGCTCTTATTCTTACAAACTCCTTTCCCCAGCCCACTGCCTATCCCAAGCATCCAGGCGCTGAGCTCTCACTCACCAGAGCCAGGCTGGTAGACCTCCCGGATGTCCAGCTCCAGCAGCTCCGCACTGACGGGCTGTAGCACTTGCTCCCGGGCAGCTCTCTTTCTCCTCTCCACTTCCTCCCGGCTGTCTCGCTCAAAATGCAGCCGGTATCTAACAGAGAAGGGACCACAGCATCCATCGCAATCCTTGGCCACAAACTCTTCTCTCCAGACTTCAAGTCTCGCTTCTCAGTCGGCCCTCCCCCAAATCTCTTTCGTGCAACAACAGACCTTCCCCTAAGTTTCGTCCAGAAAAAGCCAAACTCTCTCCAGGCTCTGCGGAAGGTACGATTGTGGCCCGCTCCACAAGCTTCTCCTGCGCCCCAGCGACCCGCTGAGAAGCGTGGCATCCCAGCCCTCCCCCCATCTCCAGTTTCAAGCCTCCACCAGCAGCAGCCTGCTTTTCCCCCAACGCTGACTTCCGGGTAGGCGGGGAAACCTGGGCCAGAGCCCCCCGCCCACTCTCACCGATTTGGGTCATAGCCTCGCGGGCCCAGCCCTTGGGAAGGTTGCTGGTTGAGCCTGCGGATGTGATGGGTCACAGATTCCCCGTCCGAGGTGTCGGTCTGCTCCTCCCGCCTCTCTCGGCTCCCGCTGCGGCTGTTGGAACTGGATCGCAGCCCATCTTGAAGCCCTGCGGGGAGGAGCCGGTGACGCCAGTGCTGGCCAGTTCTCAGGGGCCAAAAGACCCCCTCCCGGGTCGGCCTGGCTCCTCCCCACACCACCGCACTTCTTTTGAGACCGGGCCCTCCCACCTACTCTGCCCAGGACCCTCCCGGATGTGCGTGGGGGGAGGCACTCCTCCTCCTCCTCCAGGGATCTGCGGGGATGGCGCCCCGTTGGAGCTGGAGGGATTCCCCTCCCCCAACTCTCCATCCTTCCCCACCCCTTCCAGATGTAGGGGGCTGGGGTGAGGGAATCCCCTTCGCGATCGCCCACGCGCGTCGGCACACGGCCGCCACCCCCTCCCACGCCTCCCAGAGGTGAGGCGGGCACACCCCTCCTTCCAGATGTGCGGGAGTCCGAGCCCCGCCCCCTCCTCTGGCTCCCGCACTGACCTCGCTTCCGCTCCCGCTTGTCCTGCAACTGCTTTTTCTTCTGCTTCACGCTGAAAGGCTTCTTCCTCGGCATGGCCCGGACCAGTCACCTGGCCCGCCCTCCGCCGAGCTCCCGCCGCCTCAACTGACTCCCCCCGGGGCAGCCCCCGCCGCAAGGGCCCGGGACCCTGGAGGGGGCGGGGCTGGAAGGTGACGTCAGCGGGCGGCCGGGCCACTGCGCCCGGGCGGCCCGGGTGGAAGACAACGGGGGAAATACAGTCACTTCCCAGTGAGAGCGAGGCGAGAGGATGATGCAGGGTAGGCTACCCGCACGTGAGAGCCAGTGGCACTAAGAGGGCGCTGCGGCGGCGAGGAAGGAGGCGCGCGTGGGAGGATCGGGCTAACTTCGTCACGGACGCTACCAATTCGCCTTCAGAGGAGGGGGGACGCGTGTCATCACTACCTTGCGCGCCGGGAAGAAGATACCACTCACCTGGAGGGGGCGGTGGAGCGGAGGGCGGGTCCTACCACCTGGGGAGAAAGGGGCGTGGACACGCCTAAGCTACTTTTCCAATCCTCCAGCTGGGCCTTAGAGGAAAGGCGCGACTGCGCGTCCCGGGAAGGAAGCAGAGTTACTGAACTACACTGGGGGCCGGGTCAGAGGTCTTGAAGGGCGGGTGGCGGTCTGGAGAGCCCTGGGCAGCGCCCTGCTGGGACCCAAATTCCTTGTGGGAATGATGATAAGAAGCAGGCTTACAGATCATAAGTGCAAGCGCCGCCGAGGAGAGAAACCCAGGTGGGACAAGGATTTTTGGAGGGAGGTCATAGGGCACCAAGTTGTGCCTGCAGCTGTTACCATAGAAACCGGGGACCGGATATGGCGATCTCAGGATGCGACAGCCCTCTCTTCTCAGGCCTTCTGGCCTGAGAGTCTGTCGACTCTATGGCAGGCTGTGAGGAGCAACCGGTTGTGGATTTTCTTTTCAGCGAGGGGAGGAGCCAGCAGCGCTTTTCAAAGCGTTTATAGCAACGCAGCAAAGGAAAGGTTTGAGATTGCTGCCCAGCCTGGCAGAGACTGCGGGAGATGGCTGATGCGAGAAGAGCCGCACAAAGATTCCCCGCAGCCTTACGGAAGTGAAATGGCGGGAGCCTCAGCCTCAGTGTCCACCGCCCCCCCGGAAGCGGAAACAGAATCCCAGCGTGCCCCTTCCTCACTGCCCTCCAAATCCCGCTGCAGCCATTGCCGCAACCACGATGCCGAAACGAAAGAAGCAGAATCAGCAGCAGCAGCAGCTGCAGCAGCAGCAGCCCCCACTGCCAGAGCGGGATGAGACTGGAGACGAGGAGGATGGGAGCCCCATCGGTGAGGAGCCCCGGAGGGGTGCGCACATGCCTGTCAGCCTGTCGAGGCGAAGGGTTAGGGGCTTAAAAGATGCGGGGGAGAGGGCTCTAATGAGAGGAAGGGCGCACCCGCTGGGGCGGGGGCTGGGTGGGGCGGGGGGGAATCCTGTGTGGGATGGAACGCTAAATGAGTTTTCTTACTTGAATCCTCAACTTCAAACTGGCCTCTAAACCTTTCTAAAGAAGGGACAGGAGATAAAGAACTTATGTGCGCAGCCGCAAAACGTCAGGGGAGAGGGGCCCCAGAGAGGTTGCAGATTGCGATGACTGGGATGACAGTTTGTGACCACACTTGCAAGGGGAAGGTGGAAGTACAGCTTTCTGTGAACTCCTTGCGGGTGGGGTTGGGGGAGAGGGTATCTGATTGGCCAGCAGTCAAAGAGAGGGATTGGTTTACCTCTGGAATCACTTGGGATCTACTGGATAGCAACAATGTAAGGGAGAGAAAGTTTGTAGGTATCGTTTTCTCATTATACGCCGTGACAGGACTGAGTCTCCACTTTGCAAATCCTGAAAACGCTTTGTAAATAGATGGGCGTCAGAACCCATAACACTGTTGAGAATTTTCCTGGCTTTACTGGTTAGATTAAGAAATGAGTTATAGAAGAAAAGCATATAAGAACAGGATCATCAGTGTCTTAGTCCATTCTGATGACCATATTTTCGTGTCTACCCTTAGGACCACCCAGCCTTCTGGGCCCTCCCCCGATGGCCAATGGAAAGCCTGGTGACCCCAAGTCAGGTGAGAAGAAAGGGGCCCTGATCCTTTGATTAGGTCCTGAAAAGGGAGCAAGGGAGGGACTAAAACCCACAAGGGATGTAAAAAAAAAAAAAAAATCAAGATTTCTGTACTTAAATGAAAAACTCAATGTTGTAAAATGACAGTTCTTCCAAAATTGACCCAGAGATCCATTGCATTCCTACTTATAATCCCTACAATGTTTTTGTAGAAATAAGCATTCTACATTGTTGTATGGAAATGCAAAGGATCAGGGTGAGAAATTGCAAAGACAATTTTTTAAGGGGAAGGGCTTACTCTGAATATCAAGACTTATTTTAAAGCTGTAACAGTTATGACAGTGTGGTATTGGCCCAAAAATAGACATATAAATTAACAGAATGGCATAAAGAGTCCAGTAACAGGCCCACACACATATGGCTATTTCATTCTTGAAGATGGAACTGAAATAGTGGCCTTTTTAGCAAATGATGGTAGGTTAATTGGATATTCATGGGTAAAGAAATAAGTTTAGAAAACAAATGTGTTTCATGGTTTTAAAGTAGATTAGAGTTTTTAAACAGACAAGCAATACACTAAGCATAAAGGAAAAATAAACTGAACTACATTAGAAAATATGAATTTTATTAATCAAATCACACCATTAAGAAGTTAATAGGAAGCCATAGAGTAGAAGATACTTGCAACAAATATAACCAATAAAGAGTTAAAATCTTGAATGTATAAAAAACTCTCTGACAATCTGTTAGAAAAGTGGGCAAAAGACTAGAACTGCCACCTAATAAAAACTGAGATCTAAATGGCCAAAAACATGAACAAGAACTCAGCATCATTAGTCATCAAGTAAGGGCAAGATAAAAGCATATAACTTGGAAACCAAACCCTTTGTGTACTGTTGATGGGATTGTAAAGTGGTGAAACCACAATGGAAAACAGTATGGAGATTCATCAAAAAATTAAAATAGAACTACTATGTGATCCAGCAATTCCACTTTGGGTGTTTACCCAGAAGAATGGAAAGCAGGATCTTGAAGAGGGATTTACACACCCATGTTCATAGCAGCACTATGCACAGTAGACAAGATATGGAAGCCACCCAGATGTCCATCGATGGATGAATGAATAAACAAAATATGGTCTAATCATATCATGGAATATGATTCTGACCCTCAAAAGAAGAAAATCCTGTAGCAGGCCACAGCACTGATGAACCTTGAGGCTAAGCCAATCACAAAAAAAAGTGCTGTATGGTTCCACTGATCTGAAGTATATAAAGTAACTAAATTCATACTAACAAAAAGTAGAATGGTAGTTGCTAGGAGCTGGGGGGAGAAGAGGGAAAGAGTTTAGAAGCTACTAAGTTTCGATTTTGCAAGCTGAAAAGTTTTGGAGATCTGTTTTCCAACAACATGAATTTACTTAACACTACAGAGATATACACTTAAAGTACTTAAGATGGCAAGTTTTATGTTACAGGTTACAATCACAATTTCAAAACAAAAGACTGCTTTTCACACCTACCAGAATGGCAAAAATGAAAAAGATTGTTACCAAGTGTTGTCAAGGAATAACAGCTTGGTTATGGTGGTGGTGGGAGTGTGAATAGGAACAACCCAAGCTTTGAATTTCTTAAACGAAATCATACATATACTCAAGGATCCAATAATACCTCTACTACGTATATACTCAACAGAAATGCATCCATGTGTGTACTGAAGACTTATATAAAAATGTTCATAGCAGCATTTTTTTTGTTATATACCCATACTATAACAAAAATGTGGAATCTACTAGCATGTCCACCATCAGTAGAATGGCTAAATCAGTTGTGCATACATGCAGTGGGATATTACACTGCAGTGAAAACGAAGGAACTCCTGCTACTAGCAACCTGGATGAATCTCATAAACACTATGTTGAGCCAAAGGATCCAGACAGAAAAGAATGCAGACTGTATGATTTCCTTTATGCAGAGTTCAAAAACTAACCTATGGTGCTAGATGTCAAGACAGCTGTTACTTTGGGGGAGGAGGGTGGGATAGTAGGGGAGGAGGGACACAAGAAGGTGGGGCTTCTGAAGGGCTAATAAGGCTCTATCCCCTCTCTAGCCTGTCTTAGTGGGAACACAGGTGTGTTTACCTTGGTAATAATTGAGTTGTGCACTTAAAAGTGTGTATTTCTGGTGTGTATATTGTACTTCAATAAAATGTTTTTAAAACAAAATCAGGGTTTCATTATCTGTATTAAACTGGCCATTGATCATCTTTCCTTGTCTCTCTCTCTCTCTCTGTCCCTGCCTGTCTCTCTCTTCAGCTTTTCACAGAGGTCCTCCGGGATCAAGGGGACCAGTGATCCCACCACTGCTGAGTCTCCCACCTCCTCCCCGGGGCAGAGGCCCAGTTCAAGGAGGCCTCGGCCCCAGGTCTGGCCCGTATGGTCGTGGTTGGTGGGGGGTCAAGGCCGAGCCTCCTTTTCCTGGGCCAGGCCATGGGGGTCCCTCCAGGGGAGGCTTTCACAAAGAACAGAGAAATCCTCGAAGGCTCAAAAGCTGGTCTCTTATCAAGAATACCTGCCCACCCAAGGATGGACCCCAGGTTATGGAAGGTGAGGTCCATTTTTTTTAATGCCTGCACACATTTAATACCCATCACTCCCAGAGCGACCTCATGCCTAGAATACCCATGGCTCTTCTGTTTTGGGTTGTCCTTTGTCCTTTTAAAGTAGGAGTAGCCCTGAATGTTCTTTCTCCCACGAGAAAGACTGTCATTCCATAATACCTGGAAATGGTAGCAAGTAGGAAATCTGACCGCCTTCTCTAGCTCTGCTTTTTGTTAGATTTGTTCATGCTTACATTTTAAGCTGCCCGATTTTCGCTTGTTCACAGACAAATCCAGCCGCCCCGTCTGCCGACACTTCGCCAAAAAGGGCCACTGTCGATACGAGGACCTCTGTGCCTTCTACCACCCAGGTGTCAATGGCCCTCCGCTGTGAGACTGCCCTCCCCACCTAGACTGGAAGGAGCCCCTGACCTGGCAGCCACGTTCTTCCCTGTGGCCCTGTGACGGCCACCGTGAGGCTGTTGCTCGCACCACCCTCACTACCCCCTGCCCCTGGGGGTCCAGAGCTGTGTTCCATGACTGGTGTGCGGTGTGCACTCTTCTGACCCAGCCTCCAGAGACGTCTCCAGGACCATCGCTGCTCCATGCACCTGCCTCCCGGGTCCTCTCCCCCTCGCCGGCTGACTGCAGAACAGGAAACCTCTTTGGTGCTGTTTCTTGTGCATCTGTCCACCCAGCCCCCGGGATTGCCCTGGATTCCTGAGAGCCCTGGAGCAGTTTGCTACCATTCCCTCCTCGCTGCTTGTTTTTAAGTCCTTTTCGTGTGACACCCCTCCCCCCAGCGTGGTCAGCGGCCCTGTGACACTCACCCGGTTGGCTGACCTGGGGTCAAGTGTGGATGACTGGTGCAGAGTCACTCCCTGAGAGGCCACGTTCCCCGCTCTTGGATCTGGTAGTTTCTGCATCAGTAGCATGATCCCCACCGCTATGGTCTGTGATCACTGTGCTTTGTGAAACTGTGCATCCCTCTGCCCCCCACCCCCGTAGCCTTTCTCAGTGTCCGTGGCATTTTTGTGACTTCCCAACACTAGCGTAAGTTTTTCTGCCAAAATGCGTGGGGCCGTGGGTCCCCTCTAGACTTTCCCCACCTCCCGACGAGGGAGAACTGTGAAACTTTCCACAAGACTGCCTCCCTGGTCGTCTCATCCTCCCCGTGTCGGTTTCTCGGGGTTGACACAGGCCCGAGAGATGTCATCTAAAGGCTCAGATGGGCCTCTCCTCTCTCCAGCCCATTTTAGTTAGACTGCATCATTGTGAGGCCACCAGCCGTTTCATTTGAATTCTGTGAACCTCCACCTGGCCTACCTGTGGGTGGAACTCGGACAGTACTGTCGCCCTCTTCCAACCTTCTTCCCCTGCATCCCTGGCACTGGTTGTTTTCTGTGAAAACGGCAGTGAACAGGTTCAGTTTTGAACTGGCCCTGAGGAAATGGGTCAGGAGTTGTGTGGGCAAGAGGGAGGGATGAGAGCCGTTGGAGAACTGAGAATGAATTTTTTTTTAACATTTTTTTATATTAGTAATAAAAGCAGTGGAAACAAGCATTTTCTTTAATCCCTGTGTTGCAGCCATCTCTCGAAGTGCAGAGGAGGCTGTTCTTGTTGGAGTCAGTGTATGCTTCATTTAGAATGTTGACAGATGTTTCTCCCAGTCTGAAGAAACTAGCGGGGCCTCCTTACCCTTTGGAGATCAACCGGACCAGCTGCATTATATTCAAGGGCTAAGTTTTGTTGGAGAAAGGAATGGCCTGTCCATGGCGTCAATTTTAAACATTTTATGTGTGTTTATGGTTATGTTTATAGAGTGGAGGTGACAAGCAATCTTTCAACAAATACTGGTAGAGTGCCTGTAGGCCAGGCAGCATACAAGACACTATAGAGATAACGGAGAGCCAAAATCAGTGAATTTAAAATCTACAAGAGGAGACATGTTTGTCAAGTCACAAATATGTGTAAAGTACCTGTCAAAAGTGCCGTGAAGAAGCGAAATGTGGGGGAATACGTAATAATGAGCCTGGGGAGGTGACAGCTGAGACAGCTCTGAGGACAAGCAGGAGGCAAGGTGGGAGAGCAGAATCCAGGCAGAGGTGTTGCTAAGAGGAGATGGGAAGAGTGGGAAGTCAGGGAGAAGGAAGAGGAGCTAGCACTCAGGGCCTTGCAGGATATAAGGATGTGGGTCGTAAGATAGAAGCCTTTGAAGAGCCTATGATACCTGCCTTTTTAGGCAGGTGAGATCATAGATTGGTTTTACAAAAAGATCACCTTTGTATGGAGCTGGCCAGCTTGGAAATGGCATTAGCAATTTGGGTAGTCTAAGTGAGTTGTTGGTATGGACTTGGGTAGCAGAGTGGAAGAAAAGTGGACATTTGGAAATAGGTCAAAATGAAAGTATTTTGGATTTCTCAGGGTTGTTGGCTTGCATAACCAAGTGCTGTTTGAAAAGAAAGTTAGTGGAAGAAACAGGTCAAATGCCACCAACTTGCTTTTGGAATGGTCAAATCTGAGCTGCTTTTTAAGACATCCAAGGAGAGATACAAAATAAGTAGTTGGATATACAGGTTTGGTACTCAGATTAACACTAGAGATGTTAATCTGAGTTATCTGCCTATAGGTAGTGGTTGAAGCTATGAGCATGGGTATACTCATTCACTTTGTAAGTATTAAGCACCTGTGATGGCCCAGTGTATCAGTTTTAAGTTCAGTTGTAACAGAAACCAAAATTAGTCTTAAAGCAAGATAGGAGTTTATTTTTCTCACAAATCAAGAGACAGTGCAAAGCATGTATGACAGTCATGCCACCACCAGGTCCTTGGGTATTCATTCAGAACCCTTGCTCCCCCCACTTCTCAGCACCATGGTTCTTGGGGCCAAATCCTCCTAGTCACAGTCTGAAATGAAGCTCTAGCTCACTTATCCATGCTCCAAGCCTCAGGATGAAGGAAAGGCGGAGAAATTACCTCCAAGCTAACTTCTATGTCATTGGCCATAATTTAATACGTCCTGTGGCCTATAATACTCAGCTCCAGCAAGGCTTGAAGAGTATTCTTTATCCAGGCAGCCATGTACTAACCAGCAAACTTGGCCCTTCAGCAGGTGAAAACATTAAGTTAGGGCAATCATCCTCTGGCAGCCCCTCCCTGCTAGAATTAGGGCATGAGATAAAGACTAGGACAGTAGAAGTGGCAGTGCCCTCCAGCCAAGGACCAAACAGGAACCACCTCTAGTTAAATAGTTGGGTTTTATCACCTGCAGAGATCTTATTAAAGAGAGAATTAAAAATGGCAGGATTACGGTTTGTGTTAGGTGATTTGGGGGAAGATTCAAGGAAGAGGGGGATCTAGATTGATCATTCCCAGGAAGTGGGGACAACTCTATGATTGCACATCTTAATACCATTTTAATACTGTTGTCTCTCAGGGTATATGGGGCACTGGTTCCAGGACCCCTTTATGTGCCAACATCCAAGGATGCTCAAGTCTCTTGGATAAAGTGGTGTAATATCTGCGTGAAACCTGCACACATCCTCTCCTATACTTTGTCATCTTTAGATGATTTATAATACTGAAAACAATGTAAATGTCATGTAGATAGTTATAAATTCAATGTAAACTCTATGTGAATAGTTGCAAATGTGCAGCAAATTTAGTTTTGCTTTTTGGAAATTTATGGAGTGAATTTTCTCCCCTAATATTTTAATCCTAGGTTGCTTGAATCTGAATATGTGGAACCTGCAGATACAAAGTCTCCTCTTGAGGGGAGAGATGAAATATGGCTGAAGCTGTAATTGGCCAAAAAAAAAAGCAGCCACTCCTCATTTTAACTGAGAAGTACTTGTTCAGAATTTTTGCACAGTAACCTTGTTTTTGTCTTCGATTAGACAAAATTATAGACTTTATCTTACTTCATCACAGTCACAGGTTGGCCTTGTCTGACTTGTGTTCTGTGAGGTTATGGTCAGTGTGAGAGCACTATGGCCTAAATGTGAGGGCCAGACTAGCTCTTAGCAACACCAAGGCCTACCTGTCAGTGTCAGGTCAGTTTCCAGTTGTCAGGCGCTGTTTTCCTCAAAAGTAAACAAATGAGTAATTACAGGTTGTGGTTAATGATATAAAGAATATAAATGGGGGCACTATATAGAGAATAATGGTTGGGAGCCAGTGGTGATTAAGATAGACCTTACTGAGGAATCTGTAGCTGAAATCACCTGGAGAAGCGTGTCAAATGGGAAGAGGAGAGGGCCCAGGACTTAGCCTAGAGGACAGCTGACATTTAGTGGCCAAGAGAAGAAGGACAAGAATGACCTGACAAGGAGGGATGGTCAGAGAGGCGGGGTGAGAGCTTAGAATGTGTCATTGTCTGGTTGCCAGCTCTGTGCCAGGTGCCATGCTAAGTTCCCGATAAGTATTGTCTTATTTAAGCCTCACATTCGTCTAATGAATACCTAGTGCCTACTCTGAGCCAGGCACTGTTGTAGGAGCTCGGGATGTATCAGTGAAAAAGGCAACATTTCTGCCCATGTGGCTTACAGCCTAGTGAAGATGATAGACTATTAATAGATACATATATAATTTTAAGAAATGAATACTTCAAGGACAAAGTGAAAGGAGAGGCTGAAGAGTGACAGGTGGAAGAGAACAGGTCAATACTACAATAGGTAGTGGTTCTTTGAGGAAATAGCCTATGAATAGAGGCAGAAATTAAGTAAGGAAGCAACCATATGAATATCCTGAGGAAGTGCATTCCAGGCACAGGGAACAGCAAGGGCCAAGGCCCCGAGGCAATAGTGAGTTTGAGGGATCTGAAGTAGAAATAGAAGGCCAGTGGGTCTAGACTGGGAGATGAGATCAGGAAGTTCAGCGGGGGCTAAATGATACAGAGCTGTGGCAAAGCATTTGGATTGTGTGTGTGTGTGTGTGGAGGGGGGTGGGCTGCGCTGGCTCTTTGTTGTGGTACGTGGGCTTGGTATCCTTTCAACATATGGAATCTTAGTTCCCCGACCAGGGATCAAACCAGAGTCCCCTGCATGAAAGTGGATTCTTAACCACTGGAGCATTCTGCAGGTACATGCACCGAGTGCTCTGGAAGTCCCAGAGTGTTCTGAGAAAGTGATTTATGATTTAAAACTACCATTAACTGTAGGTTGGAAGGATAAACTAGAGGAGAATGACAGCAGGGAGAACAGGAGGAGGCCACTTTGGTGGTTCAGAGGAAGGAGATGATGTAGAGGTGGAGAGAAGTAGGAAGATTTGGGACATGTTTTAAAGTCTCAGTTGATGGCATCTCTTTCTTGTTGTTCACACCAGAAGCCTTGAGGTCATCCTTAGTTGTTTTTTTTTTTTGGTCACACCTGATGTCTAGTTCATTAACAAAGCCTGCTGGCTCTTTTTGTCAAATATATTCAGAAACCAGTCATTTTCACTGCCTCCACTACTATCACCCTGGCTTGAATCTTCACTGACACCTCCAAGAGGTCACTCTGCTTCTGCCATTTCTGCCATCTCATGCCCCTCCGTCAGTGAAGCCAAAGTCATCCTTCTAAAATATAGGTCAAGTCAGGTCACTCCTCTGCTCAGAACCTTGTAATGATCTCCATTTTAGTCAAGAGTAGAAACCCAATGATCTGAAAACCCCCTTCCAGTTCACAGCCTGCTTTCCTTTTCCACTTGCCTCTCCAACAATCCTTGCTCACTCCTACCACTAGAGCCACCCTGGCCTCCTTGCTGTTTGTTCCTCAGATATGCCAAGCACACTGCTTCTACAAGGCACTACACTAGCTGTTCCTTCTACCAGGATGCTCTTCTGGAAGTCCTTGTGGCCAGAGCTCTCCCTTTCTTCAAGAATTTGCTTGAATATCACATCACTGAGGCCTCATGAAGTTTATTTAGTGCTGAAACCTGCCCTCCTGATACTTTTTACCTTGATGTATATTTTACCATACTAGTAACTCCTCTGCTAGAAATGTAAGCAGAGATCTTCATTTTATTCAGTGATATCCCAAAGGCCTTAAAGAGTGCCTGGCACATACTATGCACTCAGTATACTTTTGAATGAATGACTGAGGCAGACGGCTTGCTGATGAGCAGGAATGGAGAAAGGATGACCTTTTAGTTTTGGCCTCAGTAACTAGATGAAAGATAGTGTGATTTCTTGACGTGGGGAAACCTGGACAAGATACAGCCTTGAGGAATAAACGTAAGAGCTCAGGGACTTCCCTGGTGGTCCAGTGCTTAAGAATCCGCTGGAGAATGCAGGGGTTCGCTCCCTGGTCCGGGAGGATCCCACATGCCGCAGGGCAACTAAGCCCATGCACAACTACTGAGCCCCCACAACTACTGAGCCTGCACTCTAGAGCCTGTGAGCCATAACAATGGAAACCCGCGTGCCCTAGAGCCTATGCTCCACAGCAAGAGAAGCCATCACAATGAGAAACCCGTGCACAGCCGGGAAGAGTGGGCCCCACTCATCACAACTAGAAAGCCCTCACACAGCAACAAAGAGCCAGTGCAGCCAAAATAAAATTATTTTTAAAAATTAAAAAAGTAAGAGCTCAGTTTTGTGCATATTAATTTGAGATAGCTATAAGAGATCTCAGAGAGCATGTCCAATAAACAGTTGGATTCATGAGTTTAGGGCAAAAATTGGAGCCAAAAAGAGAAATTTGGGGATTTTCATCAGTTTCGGATGATATTTAAAGTTACGTGCATGCAAGTATGCTTAGTCGCTCAGTTGTATCCAACTCTTTGTGACCCTTTGGACTGTAGCTTGCCAGGTGCTTCTGTCCATGGCATTTTTCAGGCATGAATACTGGAGATGGCTGCCATTTTCCTCCTCAAGAGGATCTTCTCAACGCAGGGATCAAACCTGTGTCTCTTGTGTGAGACATGTGTAATAAGTTTAGACAAAAGACAGTTGAGCCTGGAGGCACTTCAATATTTAGACTTCAGGAGGAGAAGCCGGAAAAGGGAAAAGGGAGTAGCCAGGAAAGGAAACTTGGAAAGAGCAATGTCTCTGAAGAAAGCCAAAGGAGAAGGGAGTGACCATCTGTATCAACTGCTGCTGAGAAGTGAGTAGGATAAAGACAGAGGACTGGCCTCAATCCGTTGACCTTGGCAAGAGTGGTGATCCTGCCAGGGAATGGTGAGAACAAAAGCAAGACTGTAGCAGTTTGAGAGAAGGGAGCTGGAAGAACTATGGGAGCACTTTGGTCCCACACCTGTTAAGCAGTAGAATTTGAAGTGTCCCAGATATTGATTTTGGTGGTGATTTAATGGGTGTATACATGTCAAAACTTATCATAGCATTCACTTTTCAGTTTACTGGTTATCTATTGTATTAATATATAAAGTTTACAGTAAGTCAACTACACCTCGGAAAAGCTGTTACCAAGAAAAAAAAGTGAACCCAAGCCCCACTGCACTGCGATTCCTGTTTGTTAGGCTACAGTTCCTCGTTTACACCTCTACACCTCGGGATTTTGTGACATATCTCAACACTAGACCGACAAAGCCTCTTCCTGAGTTAGTGGACTTCGCTTTTCTGCTCCTTACCAATCAGAAGGGACTGGCAACAAGTTAGCGTTCAGTTTTGTGTTTTTTTTTTTTTTTAATGACTTCATGGAGAAGGAAATGGCAACCCACTCCAGTACTCTTGCCTGAAAAATTCCATGGCCAGAGGAGTCTGGTAAGCTACAGTCCATGAAATCGCAAGGGTTGCACACGACTGAGCAACTTCACTTTTATTTAAAAAAAAAAGACTTCACTCTTTCATACTAGTCGGAAATGATTATGTTCTGTCACTTAGTCACGCGGCGTCGTAGAGTCATTGGGGTTCCTCAACTATCATAAACCTGCTGTCGCGACCCGAGTGGGCGGGCGCCGGCCACGCCCCATCATTGCAGGCCACGCCCCCAACAGGTCGCAGGCACGCCCACGACAGGACGGCGCGGCGCGCACGTGGGCCGTCCAGGGGCGGAGTCGACAGCCAAGGCAAAGAGCGCCAGTCTGGTTCCGGGCCCCACGCTACCGGAAGCGGAAATAGCACCCGGCGCAGCCAGAGTTACCATAACTGCCACCGCGATGCCGAAGGGGCCCAAGCAGCAGCCGCCGGAGCCCGAGTGGATCGGGGACGGAGAGACCACGAGCCCCACAGGTAAGGCTGACAGGCAGAGGAGAAAGAAGATAGAAAAGAGAAGAGAGAGAAATGTGCGCCAGGTCTTAGGAGAGGGTGGCGGGCGCGACTCTCACTGGGCCTTCGGGGGGCTACTGCGCATGCGTGCAGTGGGGCCGGGAAGAGTTTCCCCTGGCTAGAGTGCTTTTGGGATGCCGGCGAAAGAAAAGGTGCCGGGGTGTCAGGCACTAGCTTCAGTAACACCGGCCAAGAGACGGGGAAGAGCGTATGGGGGACTTCCCTGGTGATCCATTGGTTAAGAATTGACCTGCCGATCCAGGAGGTGCGGGATCGCTGGTGAAGAAGCTAAGATTTCCACAAGCATCCTGGCCAAAAAACCAACACATAAAACAGGAGCAATACTGTAACAGATTCAGTAATGACTTTAAGGAGGATCCGCGTTAAAAAAAGAAACTTAAAAAAAAAAAAAGATTATTCCAGAAAGAGCATATGGTAGGGAGAGGAGATGGAGAAAATGAGAGAAGTCCTGTTTTCTTCTCTTTTGGACATCTTGGTCACATCGTATTCCACATCCGGCAGGAATATATAAGCTGTGCCTCGACCTGCTCTTCCGTGCCAGTGCCACTCGCACTCACCTGGGGTCCCATCTGCTTCTCAAGAGAGGCTGATTCCTTCATGGAGTCATGCCTAAGACAGCTTTCATAAGACACCTTTTTGACTCAAGTGGAACGAGAAAGTAGATACTGGGTGTTGGAATGGAGGATTAAGTTTTACTTAAAAACAGCTAATGTTTGTTGAGTCACTTGTTTTTAATTATGCACTGTATATACTGTGCTTTGGAGAAGGGACAAAAAGATATGAAGACCTTCTCCCAGACTTGAAGGTACTTCAAGAGGGAGATAAGATGGATGGAAGTAATTATAGTGGGTAAACAGTGACTAATTTTACAGAACTGGAGATGTAGGGATGAAAAGGCTTGCCTTTCGAAAAGGGGCAAGTCTAGTGTAGGGGACAGAGCTTTAGTCAGGGAATGTGCTTGAGAATGCTGTGGGACTAGAGAAGACAGGGGCAGCATATAGTCAGTTAGGATGGGAGTGTCAGCAAAGCCTCCCAGGAATATGTGATAGCTGAGTTCATTCTCGAAGGATCATTATGAGTTAGCAAGGGGAAGAAGGTTCTAAGTCAGCAGAGGGTACAGTTAATGCAAAGATAGGATGTAGTTGAGCCTGGCTGGTTCCCAGTATTGTATTGACTCATGTGATGGTATTGAAAAGATGTGTGAGAGACAAGATACTGAAAGGCTTTATACACTATTCCAAGGAATTTAATCCTAAAGACATTAAGAAGGAAGACTCATTGAAGTGCATAGAAATGATTGGAGTCAGGGAGACCATTTAGGAGGCTCTGGTAAAGATCCCTGTGAGAAGTGATAAGAGAGGAAGCCAGGGCATTGACTAGAGCTGGGAACCAACTAAGGGGAGAAGAATTAAGGCTGACACTCAGCCTTGAATAATTCCTCGGGTAATAGGCTTTTCATTGAAAGCTGTAATGGGCTATGGGTTGGGGAGCAGGAAGAGGTAAGTCAGCTGCTGTGTGCTAAATTGGAGATTTCTGGGGAATTTGAAGAGGAGATGGCAAGGAGAGAGTTTGTTCAGTGGCTTTGGAGAGAGCGGTAGACTAGGAATGAAGACACAGGTGTAGTTTCGGTGTTGGATCCGAGGAGTCCCCTAGAGAGTGTCTGTGGATTGAAGTGAAAAGAGGTCTAAGATGGGGACCCAAGAGAACTTCAACAGTTAAGGGAAGGCAGATAGGGAAGGAGGCTGAGGAGATGAGTCTGAGCAAGGCAAGCAGCCAGAGGCGGACCTTCAGGATCCCTGACGCTGAGGAGCAACAGGAGAGAAGACTGAAAATGAGGAGGAGGGAAGTAGCATGGAATGTTGCCAAGTAATCAAGCAAAATAAGGACTACAAAAAACCCCACAACAACAACCCTCTTTGAATTGAACAACTAAGAGGATGGTGGCATCTTTGACAAAAGTAGCCTTCATTAGAAGGTAACACCCAAATCAGGTTGTGGTATATTCAAAAAGGAATGGGAGATGAGGTGGGGGGCTAGTGTGTACTGCACTTTTGAGGCTCAGTGAAGACAAGAATAGAAACAGTAATTGGGTGGGGGGAGTGTAAGTTTTTGGAAAGTGCTTCACTTGGCTTTGAAATGAAGAACAGCTTCAGTGGTGTCCTTACTAAAGGGAGGAGCCGTTGTGGTGGGGCGAAGACGTGGAGGGTACAGGGTAGATTTAGCCACACTTAGCCTTTTCCTGCTCCTGGGTGATAATACTTTGTCACACTTGAACCAATGGTCAGGAGGCGTGGTTGTATCAGTCTATGGAGAGAAATTAGTGTCTGAGTCACTTCTGAGTGTTGTCGGAGTAAGCTGATCGCATCATTCTGGCTTCTGTACTACAGTGGGTCCTCCCTCTTAGTGGCTTTGGTTTAGACTCCTCAGAATAGCGTATATAGAAAGTTTTTTATTATTTCTTCACATCTTTTTGGTTCCATCACACTAGTCACCCTGTACAGGGATCAGATTTTTGAAGTGTGTTCAGGGTGGAGGTCACCGATGAAGCATAGACAGACATAAGCATGCCTGGGAGTTACCAAGGAGCAGGGAAAAGCCAATGTTTACAACATCAGTATGGGTAGGGAAAGAGCAGAAGAAATAGGATACGCCCTTCTAGTTTGTGAGGCCCTAAATTATAGGGCTTGACCTTCATTTTATCCAGTTTTTGACACTGTAGATCCTCAGCATCTGAATAAATGATTTTTGTGGACTCGGTGGCATTTTGGTCTGAGAATACTTAATGTGGTAGATAGCAGAAGGGTTTGTTTTGGTTTGGGGATGGGGGGAAACTAAGTGACTGCAGGAGCGCCTTTGGATAGAATCGAATAGCAGTAGGCGATGGAGTGGTTGGGGGACGAATGTGATGGTGGATAGGCCTAGGAGCGGAGAGAGATCACGAGGCTGCTGTCTGCCTCCCTGTCTCATGTGGGAAGGAGTTAGACGTAACCCTCCGTCTTCAGGGAAATGGAGATGGACAGAAAGGAGAGGCTGGAATTTGTCAGTGAACTTCTCTTGACCTCCCGCTTTGCTCCCTGGGAACACGAGCTAAGCAGTGTCTCAGGTCACTCTAGGATGAAGGACTGATGCCCAGTTAAGCCTAACACAGCACAATTTGTGCTGGAAGTGCAAGCAGAGCAGGTGTGGCATAGACCCAGGTGTTTGTTGACTTAGCAGATGGCTCTGTTTCCGTGGCCTGCAGGTTCCAAAAAATGACATATAATACTTTGTCCTGCTTTTCTCCCCCATGGGTGACTGGGGTGGGGAAAGGTCTTTCTTTCCCAGTATATCCTGAGTTATTCATGGTACCTCTAACTCAGCTAATTTTGCCAGCTATAAACATTGGTGTCATCTCTGAAAGCTGTCTTACTTCCCACCTCTGGCACCATCACCTTGTGGATTCTCCTTTTCTGCCTCCCACTAGACCAGCCACCATTGTCTGTCTCATGGGACAAGTGTCCAGGGAGGGAGCTAGAAAAACAGTGATGAGGGAGGGCAGAGTCCACTGAGGGTTGGCAGGTGAGATCAGGGTGGCTTTGGAATTTGCAAATCATCATTCACAACATCTGCTTAACCCTTCTAGACAAAGTGGTGAAGAAAGGGAAGAAGGACAAGAAGACCAAAAAGACGGTGAGGCATTGAGGGGTGAGGAGAGAGGGCTGTGGGTGTTTCCGAGCAGAAGGTGGCCCTGTGAAGTCAATGGGGGCCGAAGGGAGGGGAAGAGGTCTTGTTGGGAGAGGGAGCAAGGTGAGATGGCATGCGTGGCAGGTCCCTGGGTACATGCGTGGTGGTGAAGGGCTTGATTGGTCTCTGAGCTGTGTTTGCCTAGATCTTAACTCCTATTGTAGTTCTTCGAGGAGCTGGCAGTAGAAGACAAACAGGCTGGGGAAGAAGAGAAAGTGCTCAAGGAGAAGGAGCAGCAGCAGCAGCAGCAGCAACAGCAGGTACAGGTGTCAGCAGACCCACCACTCCATGAAGGCATCTTCGGTCTGCCAGCCCCTCCACAGCCTGCGCTGGTTCACTCAGCTGACGAGAAGCACTCTCTGGGGCAGAGATACAGCAGCAGCCCAGGCTTCATTCTCTCACCCTGTTTGGCTTTCAGCAGCAAAAAAAGAAGCGAGACACCCGTAAAGGGAGGCGGAAAAAGGATGTGGATGATGACGGAGAGGAGAAGGAGCTCATGGAGCGTCTTAAGAAGCTCTCAGTGCCAGCCAGCGATGAGGAGGACGAGGGTAAATGCGCAGAGGGGAGATGGGTATCTGGAACCCTTGAGTCAGGAAGAGTCAGGTGCCTCATTCCTTGATCTTGGAGTTGGATTAGATTGAGGAGCGGACATGGTAATTCTCTTTCCTAGCTCACCTTCTCCTCTTACCATTTCAGTACCTGCCCCAGTACCCAGAGGAGGGAAGAAAACCAAGGTAAGCCATCTGTCTTGGTGGTAGACAGAGATCCCAGGGGTGCAACCTTGATCATCCTACTGACTTCTGCCCTTTCACTCTCCAGGGTGGTAATGTTTTTGCAGCCCTGATTCAGGATCAGAGTGAAGATGAGGAGGAGGAGGAGGAGAAACATCCTCCTAAGCCAGCCAAGCCAGAGAAGAATCAGATCAATAAGGTGATAGTGATGGCTCTGCCGGTCCCTCTCACTCCATGTGGCATCTCTGGCTACAGTGTGGTGATTCCCTGGCTGCTTTTCCTGCTTTTCAACCAGCTCTTCTAGGCCAGGCCAGTCTTGCTTATACTGTCAGCTTATCCTGTCAATATCAGCTTTTTAAAAAGTACTCTTTATCGCTCGGAAATTTACAGCGATTCTGTTGCTTTCAAACTCAAAATCTAAGCCAAAGACCTTCAAGTCTTTGCCCTTCCACCAGGACCCCTCTACAGGATTACTTGGGACTTGCCTTGTATACCGATCAGCCTTATCACATGTTTGAATCCAGCCTGACTGTGTGCTGAAGCCTTTATTCTTTACCACTGAGCCACCAGGGAAGCCTGAAGCCTTTATTCTTTATGCTTTCTCTTCTTCCTAGAACGCCTTCTCCAAGCCCGCGACCGTTACCTCTTCTCAAGATTTGCCCTCTGGAGGAAGCCCTCCAGTGTTAGGGCCATCCCATCCACATGGCTCATTTGCCTAACTCGCAGTCTCTTTAGCTTCACTGTTATTCTCTACTCGTCTCTTCACTGTCTCCCCCTGGAGGCCAGGATGTTTGTGGGTCTCATTTTCTCCCTGTCAGACTTAGTATAGTTAACTGCTACTCCTGGACTACCTAGAAATTCTTGTCAAGCTACAGTATAGCAAATTAATTTGTATGTCTGTGTGTGTCTTCTCCAGGCTGTATCTCAGGAACAACAGCCAGGGTTGAAGGGCAAAAAGACAAAGGAGGAGAAGTCAAAGGGGAAGGCCAAGGTGAGGGAACATTGGCGGGAGGTGGACTGGTCTCAAGAATCAGAGCATTGCATCCGACCTGCTGGCTTTTCTTTGTAGCCTCAAAATAAATTTGCTGCTCTGGAGAGTGAGGAGGAGGAGGAGGATGAAGAGGAAGCAACAAAAGAAAAGGAACCACCCAAACAAGGGAAGGAGAAGGCCAAGAAGGCAGAACAGGTGTGTGTTTGGGTGTTGGGGGGACGTGGGCTGAGGCTCAGGCTTGGTGGCCCTTGGGCCGGGGGCAGGACATGGGCTGCGACCTGGGACGTGCTTACTCCCCAGAGCAGGGGTTGGCAAACTTCTGTAAAGGACCTCCTAGTAAATATTTTGGACTTGCAGACCACATACAGTCTCTGATACACATTTTTCTTTTCTGTTTTTGGAAAGACTCTTTGAAAATGTAAAAGCCATTCTTAGTTCAAGGGCCCTGATTTGCACCTGTTGATCCAGAAGAGGAACGGACACAGGCGGCACCCTGAGCCCAGGTTCTGGCTCTGCCACCCCCTGTGTGAGCTTGAGTATGTCTTGCCACCTCTTAAGACCTCACTTCTCTCATCTGTGTCAAGTGACCTCTGAGCTCCCCTGTACCACCAGCACCTGCTAGTTCTCATTCTGTTGGATTCCTCAGTGGCTATACACAGGGCTTCTGGACCTCTGCTTTGCATGTTTACTTGCAGAGAAACTCGTTTGATACATGAGGAAGAGAACCTGTTCTTTTTATTCTACCTTCAGTTACATTGTATTGACAGTTACGGAGGTATAGGTACATATACATCTTTACAATTCATACATACATACATAGGTACCTTTTTGGTGACACAAATGGAGACAGGGCTACAAGGAGACCAGAGTGGGTATGAGAATGTGAGCACCGCCAAGATATGTCAGTATTCTGGGAGAGAGACAGAGCTGACTGTGGAGCTGGGAGTTGGTGACATGAAGTTCTCTAAGGGGTCCCTTGTTTTTACCATCGCCTGGTTCTCACAGGGCTCAGAGGAAGGAGAAGAGGAGGAGGAAGAAGGGGAGTCCAAGGCTGATGACTCCTATGCTCACCTTAGCAAGAAGGAGAAGAAGAAACTCAAGAAACAAGTAAGACCTTGGGTTCTTAGTAGTCAAAGGCAGGAGAAATTTTTGTTTTAATGCTGCAAGTAGGGGGCATGTGAAGGGAGAGCTTTGGGTGTTGGGTTAAGTACAACAGCTGGAGTAAGGAAACAGTTGTGTTTTGTGAGCATAGTGTCATGGTGTCTGGTGACATGGGACTGTATTGTGGCAACAGGAAAATGGCAGGCAATGGCCTCAAATGTGAGCTTTCCTTCCTTCTCAGATGGAGTATGAGCGCCAGGTGGCTTCGTTAAAAGCAGCCAATGCTGCTGAAAATGACTTCTCCGTGTCACAAGCAGAAGTGTCTTCCCGCCAGGCCATGCTAGAAAATGCCTCTGACATCAAGGTAAGGTCGAAGGGGGCCCCTCCTACCAACTCAGCCAGGGAAGTGCCGCTTCTCCCCTTCCCCTGAGAGGCCATGGTGACCGAGGAAGGGGTAGGAGAGGGTGGTCCACTGGGAAGAAAGCTGGGAGGCGTTCTCTACATCTTGAATTCTCCCAGCCTGTGCAAGAAGTTAGAAGAACCAGCACAGGAGTCTAGCTTTGGAGGGAAGCAGGTTGGGACAGGCTGGTCGCTCTTAGGGTGTGGATTCCGATTAGAGGCAGTGGATGGGGAGGGGGCCGGCATGGTTGGGGGAGGGCGCTTCCCCGCAGAGAAAAAGGTGCAGCTCCTAGACATATGGAAGGGAGTTCTCACGTGCTTACTCTTTCCTGATCACCACAGCTGGAGAAATTCAGCATCTCGGCCCACGGCAAGGAGTTGTTCGTCAACGCAGACCTGTACATCGTCGCTGGCCGCCGCTACGGGCTGGTGGGACCCAATGGGTAGGAGAGGAGGGGCTGGAGTGTGAGAGGAGAGGGGCTGGAGGGAGAAGAAGAGACTTGTTCTCGGAGGCGCCCTGGTCCTCAAAGCTCTCATTCCGCAGCAAGGGCAAGACCACTCTGCTCAAGCACATCGCCAACCGAGCCCTGAGCATCCCCCCCAACATCGACGTGCTGCTGTGCGAGCAGGGTGAGGCTGCTGGTGGCAGAGGGGCCGGTGGGGAGGGGGAGACAGGCTTGCGAGGGGCTCCACTGGGGGGTGTGAGCCAGCCAGGAGCAGAAGAGCCCGTGGTTGTGGAGTTGGAAGGGTTTTGTGGGGAGAGACTGGGGACTGGGAAATGGGTGCCACAGGAGTGGTGGGGTGCGGTGAGAGGCTGGAACAAGTACAGAGAGTTGGGCAGGGTCAGGCAGTCCAGAAACGGAGCTGCAGGGAAGAGGGAGCAGGAGCCTTGGCCCTGGGCACACCCTGACTGCTCCCCGGCCCCCAGAGGTGGTGGCTGATGAGACGCCAGCCGTGCAGGCTGTCCTTCGCGCGGACACCAAGCGTTTGAAGCTGCTGGAGGAGGAGCGGCGGCTTCAGGCGCAGCTGGAGCAGGGCGACGACGCGGCTGCCGAGAGGCTCGAGAAGGTAGAGGAGATGGCGCCAGGGAAGTGGGCTAGGACCAGGGGCTCCCGGGACCCCCCAGCATGTGTCCTCTTCTCCCTCCTCCCAGGTGTATGAGGAATTGCGGGCCACCGGGGCGGCCGCTGCAGAGGCCAAAGCCCGCCGGATCCTGGCCGGTCTGGGCTTTGACCCTGAGATGCAGAATCGACCCACACAGAAGTTCTCGGGGGGCTGGCGCATGCGTGTCTCCTTGGCCAGGTGGGCTCCCACCCCCTGCCCTCCTGGCCTCCGCCCACCCTTCCCTTCCTGTTCTCCCAAGGCTGTCTTGTCCCTTCTGTACTGTCTGACTTGTCAGACTCTGGGGCTTCTCTCCTTGTCTGGGGGTGTGTTCTCATCTGTCTCCTGCTTGGGAACTCTCAGAAGAGATTAGGAAGGAGTGTTCATGGTCTCCACTTACCAGAGGCTTCTGTGGGTTGTCTGAGCAAGGGTCTTCCTCCTACTGACCCTGCCTTCTCCGGCCCACCCTCTAGGGCGCTGTTCATGGAGCCCACGCTGCTGATGTTGGACGAGCCCACCAACCACTTGGACCTCAACGCTGTCATCTGGCTCAACAAGTGAGTGGCCCGGGTTATAGCCTTGTATCGCTGGTCTCCACCTTGTCCCTGACCACTCTCACCCCAGCCTCCCTCTTTTCGCTTCTGGCCCCTGTCTGCACTCTAACCTGGAGATTGTGACATTTCCACACTCTTTAAAACCCAGCTACCTCCAGGGCTGGCGGAAGACGCTGCTCATCGTCTCCCACGACCAGGGCTTCCTGGATGACGTTTGTACTGACATCATCCATCTCGATGCCCAGCGGCTTCACTACTACAGGGGCAATTACAGTATGTGGGACGTTTGGGGGTGAGGAAGGGGATAGTTCCTGGAGAAAGGCCTGGGAGGGAGGGACATAGGGACGCAGTGATAATTCTGAGTATTTCAGAATTCTAGACATGACCCCTTCCCCCACCCTCCCCCATCTTGCTGGGGACAGGGACAACCATTGATGACCTCCCGCCCCCTTGCCCCAGTGACCTTCAAGAAGATGTACCAGCAAAAGCAGAAGGAACTGCTGAAGCAATATGAGAAGCAGGAGAAAAAGCTGAAGGAGCTAAAGGCGGGCGGCAAGTCCACCAAGCAGGCGGTGAGCGCTGGCTCTTCCCAGGCAGGGATCTTTTCGGGAGAAAGAGGGGGAGCTCAGACACTGCCTGCCATTCAAGGCCTCCCATCCAGGCTTGGATGTCTCCCTTTCCCGTTCCTCCTCAGGAGAAGCAAACCAAGGAAGCCTTGACTCGAAAGCAGCAGAAGTGCCGGCGGAAAAACCAGGACGAGGAGTCGCAGGAGGCCCCCGAGCTGCTGAAGCGCCCCAGAGAGTACACCGTGCGCTTCACGTTCCCTGACCCGCCACCGCTCAGCCCTCCAGTGCTGGGCCTGCATGGTGAGCGGCTGCGGCCCTGCCTTCCCACCCCGCCAGGGCTCTCAGCTGCGCTCGGGGGACTCTGAAGAGAAAATAAAGTGCTGCTTTTCCTACCTTCTCAGGTGTGACCTTTGGCTATGAGGGGCAGAAACCACTTTTTAAGAATCTGGATTTTGGCATCGACATGGACTCAAGGAGTGAGTTGGGGGGAGAGCTCGGTGCAGAGTTCGGGGTGGGACTCAGGCCATGGAGCAGGAGTGCTGGGGAGTTTCTGGGGACCTCACCTCTGACCTCTTTCTGCCCTCTGGCAGTCTGCATCGTGGGCCCTAACGGCGTGGGGAAGAGCACCCTGCTGCTGCTGCTGACGGGCAAGCTGACACCGGTGAGTCCAGGAGTCAGGGAGGGGCATAATGACGGGCGAGCGGAGGCATGAGCACATGGCTGTTCCCTGGAGGCTCCAACTGGGGGGCCCTCTCAGCTGTGGAGAGTTAAATACAGAACTTGTCATGGATGGTTCATTTGCTTAAGAGGTGCTGTAGAGGAGGACAGTTTAGATCAGCCAGGGAGACGGACCTGGAGAAGTGGGCCCAGATGAAGGGCATGCCTTCCCCATCCTGCTTGTGTGTTCTGGTTATATAAGAAATATATGCCCATTGTAGAATCGTTAGAAATTGTGTGAACCAGGGAATTCCTGGCAGTCCAGTAGTTAGAACTCGGGGCTTTTACTGGCATGAGCCTGGGTTAGATCCCTGATCGGGGAACTAAGCAAGGGACAGATGAAAAAAAAAAATTGCATAAGCCAGAGAAAAATCTGGAGATAATCTGTATTACTATTTTTTTTAACCTGTATTAATTTTAACAGATCGTTTTCCTTTTTTTTTCCTTACAAACATGTATATAATTATTTTTCTTAACAAAAGTGGGTCATCCTGTGAATTGTTTTGTAGCTAGCTTTTTTTCAGACAGTGTATATTAAGCATTTTTTTGTGCCTGTTATCTTATATGCTTTTTTCTCAGGGATCTATTATAATTTATTTGATGTCTGTTGTTTAGAATGTTTCTGATTTTTCACTGAAGGACAATACTCTAGTAAAGAGTGTTACTGTACTTGTTTGTGAATTTAGTTTTTCCTTGGGGTAAATTCCCTAGAATTGCTTCAGGGACTTTTGCTGTATATGTAATACTAGGTGGCTGTAACCATCTGTCTGCCCTCCAAGCAAGTGTGGAGAAGGCACATTGCCTCACACCCACAGAGTAGATCTTTAGAAAGGTGTCCTAGATCCTCCCACAAACTCATTCCTATCTGAGGTGGAACCCTGAAAAATTCTAACTGGAAGGTGGGGATGGGGTTTTTCTGCTTGTGGTCAGCCTGCTCCTGGTTCTGAATTTCCACTTACCTCCTCGCTTTTCCTCTTGCTTCTGATTTCCTGGCCTGCTGTGGTCGTGTTAGGGAGCACACCTGTGTTACCTTTCTTGCATTGGCTCGTTCCCGGTCCAGTTCTGGTGTTCATTTCCCTTCAAAGAGTTGGGAGGTGGAGCTGTGGCTCCTTTCTGCCCCCACTTACTACCCCCCACCTTGCTTTTTCCTTGCAGACTCGGGGTGAAATGAGGAAGAACCACCGGCTGGTAAGTGGCTTTGGGAATCAGGTAGTAAGAGGCCAACAGAGGAAGTCTGACTTTCATTGACCACCTTCTTCTCCTCTTGGGCAGAAAATTGGCTTCTTCAACCAGCAGTATGCAGAGCAGCTGCGCATGGAGGAGACACCCACCGAGTACCTGCAGCGGGGCTTCAACCTGCCCTACCAGGACGCGCGCAAGTGCCTGGGCCGCTTCGGCCTAGAGAGCCACGCGCACACCATCCAGATCTGCAAGCTCTCTGGTACAGGGGCCTGGGCAGGCGTCCCCCTCCTCAAAATTCCCTGCTGCACACTGCCCCTCGAGGCGGGAGGGAAGAGGAACCGGGACTTGGGGGACCTCAGCGCACACACCTGCACCCGCATGCACATGCAGGCATTCAGGGCTCACCTGCAGACATGTCTGGTGGTGGAAGGTGCAGTGGTTCTCCTTCCCCTTCACTCCAGGTGGGCAGAAAGCCCGAGTTGTGTTTGCAGAGCTGGCCTGTCAGGAGCCCGACGTCCTCATCTTGGTTAGTAAATGGGGCTGCGGGGCCAGGGCGGGGGTGACACCAGGAAAGGTAGGGGTCATTAAGAGTCAGTTTTGGGACGCCGCCTTCCCGTAGGACGAACCCACCAATAACTTGGACATCGAGTCTATCGACGCTCTAGGAGAGGCCATCAATGAATACAAGGGTGGTGAGTCAGCTCGGGCCTACCCTCCTCCTGCCATCCCCCTTGGGGATGGGACTGTAGGTGTCCTGGGGCTGGGCACCCTCCTCGCAGGTTTTGATTCCCCTCTTCTTTCTGCCTGTCCTCCATTTTCACTGTCTTGCCTCGAAGCTGTGATCGTCGTCAGCCACGATGCCCGACTCATCACAGAAACCAACTGCCAGCTATGGGTGGTGGAGGAGCAGAGTGTTAGCCAGATTGATGGTGACTTCGAAGACTACAAGCGGGAGGTGTTGGAGGCCCTGGGAGAAGTCATGGTCAGCCGGCCCCGAGAGTGAGCTTTCCTTCCCGGACATCCCCCGTCTCCTCTCCACTCGGAAGCTTGCTCTGGTCTACAGCCGGCGTGGTAGCTGCTTGGGCGTGTGAAGGTGGAGTGTGGTCTTGATGTGACCAGGATATTGGATTGCTTCCTTTTCTCTGAAAGACTTGTCTGTTCTGCTTCTCTTGAGATAACTGAGTGGGCCATGTCCTTGAAGTCACTCTGTACAGGCAGAGGTGATGTTTGTCATCATGGGGTTCCAGCCAGCCAGGCTCAGCAGCCAGTTGTCTGAGCCTCTGTCCTCGCTGAGAAGCCTGCCTCTGGGCCGTCCCGAGCTTCGGGTGCAGCTGCCGCCTGGTCTGACTGGTGCTACCCTCCTCTGGTGGATTCAGTGCTGACCTAATGGATTCCAACAGCTGCTTCGGCTCCTGCCACCCAGGATCTGGTGCCTGCAGTATCTGGTCTGATGGGGGACTCGGGGACAGGAGAGGAATGCTGCTGGACTCAAATCGCCCTTTTCAAGGGGGAGAAATAAAGGAAAGGAATTGCCGCTGCCTTGTTGCTGTTTGGAGGTTCATGGGAGCTGGAACTCTTCCGAATCGTGATTGGCTGTGTTGGGTTTTCTAGCAGTGGGTGGCAGCCTCTCTCCCCCACTGGTGCAGGTGGGTGTCACTTGCAGTCTTACTTCACTTTAGGTGGTGCTCGCTGTTTGAGGAGCCTCTCCCTTCCTCCAGCCCTTCAGATGAGTACAAGGGAAAGGGAGTCCTCCCTTCTAGCTAGGACGAGGGCACTCGGGTTTCTCACTATCCAAGCTCCATCCTGGGGTCAGGGACCAGAGTGTCAATCCCTGCAGAGTTACTGTGTAGCACTGGGGGGTATATGGGAAAGGAGCAGACGTGGTCTGCCTTCATGAGTAATCTAGACACAGAAGACTTAGAAGACAAGTGTACAGCATTGATACGGTTAATTGCCAAATGTGCAGTTCTAGATTATAAGTGGCCTTGAGCTCATAGAAGAGAAAGGTTACCCAGAACTTGGTTTTGTGGTAGGATCACTTGAGGGAGGACCTTGAGAAATAATAAGGATTTTAACCATGAGCAGGGAGCCATTCTTGAAATGTAGGAAAAAGAGCGGATCTAAGGAAGAAAGAACTGTTTCAGGAGTTAATGAAAGAACGTGGCTGGTATGGCCGCTTTTTAGTGTTAGATTGGAGAGACGGGTTTGGAAAGTAAAACCCAAGTGGCAAGTGGTTGGTTGGTGGTCATTTCAGTGATTGATGGGTGAAGTGGACTATAGAGACTTACAGGACAGGCCCCAGAAACTTCCTTGTGGGGATCAGGTAATACGTCTCACATCCTAATGTGAGAGACGGGGTGGAAAGGATGGACAGATGGATAGAGCCAGGTATGCAAATTGGAGAGAAAACAGGTGCATCCAGTTCCCAGGGGGACGTGAAGAACCCTCTTACGGCTTCCTGAGGTGGGACGTCTTAACTTTGGGAAGTTAGGTTTTGGCCAAAAATACTACTGGACCTACAGTACAAGGTTTATACTGAAAGTTAAGATTTGGTATGAAGATAGTCACAGAGTCACGTACCATCGGGTACGTGTCTAGCCAGATTAGAGAGAAAGGATCTTGGAATTTGAGGGGAAAAAAATCAAGGTCTTATGCCAAGTAAGATGTTGCATGTTAAAAGTATTCTCCACAATAAGGTCCTTTGTAAAACAATGAGAACAGACTTCAAGTCCATGACTAATGGAGTGACCTTGGACTTAGCCCCTTGGTACCTGTTTCCTCATTTGTAACATGAAGGTGATAAAAAGCACCTTCCTCACAAGGTTATTAAGATTTTAGGTAAGTATTTATAAAGTAAGTGCTTTTTTTTTTTAGTTACATCTATTTCATGTACAACTTACACTTTGCACTTCAGTTATTCGGTTCACTATATGAGATGATATGTAAAACAGTGGAATGTATAAGATGAACACCAAAATTTTGCATTTCAAGTGTTTGATGCTAATCTCACTACAGATACTTCAGATGCTCAAAGTAACTTCCATCCACTGGCAGAAGCTTTGTTTGTTCCCTCAATATATATACTGTTGCAATGCACCTAAATCTGGACAAAAGAATGCACTTCTCCAGAAAGGGGAGCCTAACCCAGTACAGTGTATGGCTAACCCAAAGCCTGAAAAATGAAATTTCATTAACAAAATTAAATGTTTGTATTCATGAAAGTCTTTGTCACCTATAAATCATGCACTAGTGTGGTTCATAATGGGCACTGTAGGAATTAAAAAATTCCTGATTCTTCTGCACACCTTCCCAATGAGGAAACAGAGACCCTGACCTGCCCATGGTCACCCAGCCTGGAGAGGACTGTTCTACGACGGTGGCCCTTCTTTTCTGACCCCAGCGCCCTGGGCGTTCTCCCTCATCTGTAGAATGTGGACAGATCCTTACTATTTCTCAAGGTCCTCCCTTACGTGATCCTGCCAAATAATCAAGTTCTGGGTAATCATCCTCTTTTCTGAGCTCAAGGCAACTTCGTATCTAGAACACCACACATCTGGCAGTGTGGACAAGGTGACAGAAGGATGAGTCCTCAAGGGGCACCAGAGCCAGGACAGGTGTTTAGGGAAGACTGTCAGCACTAGAGTGGGAAAGGTGAAAGCCAGGAAGGAGCGCCGTGGCCATGCAGAACTCAGAGGAGGCCTGGGTACATGAGAGGTGGCGCTTGTGAGGCCTTTGCTGATGAAGCAGCACAGATGCTTGAACTGGCTGCTCTAGGACCGTGGTTCTCAATGTGTCCTAGACCAGCAGCAGCAGCATCACCCAGAGCTTTTTAGAAATGCAAAGATAGGGTTGACACGGAAGTCAGAAGTTATAGGGTTATTTGGGGGGTGGGGGTGGAAATGGAATAAAAAAGAAGAACAGGTCAGTTGAAACAGGAGAGCTGTACCTGCAAGGCTTGGTGAAGAGACAGAAATGGGTACAGTGGTGTCTTTGGAGCCTGTCACAGGAAACATGGTGCTAGAGTGGCAGGTGGGGTCACCTTTAGTTTGAGTGATGAGGGAAGACTTCTCAGGAAGTAACACTAACTAAAGACAAGGCCTGTAGGTGGACAAGGAACCAGCTAGATGGATAAGAAAGAGCCTTCAATGAAGGGACCAGAATGTGCAATGGCTCAGAAGCTGGAAAGAGCTGGTCCTGGAAGATGGCTTGAGCTTAGAGCTTGAGCAGCGGCTAGGACACGTGAGGCCTTATACACCTTGATAGGAAGTTAGGATACGGTTCTAGGAGCATTAGAAGGCCATTGGAGTGTACACAGGAGTGTGAGTTGACCTGGTTCTCATTTTCACAAAATTGCTCTGGCTGCTGGGTAGAGTGGTGGGGTGGGGGGTGATAGGGAGAGATGCCAGGGGAGCTGTTAGATATTCCTTTGGGCAGGAGACAATACTCCCCCTCCTCTAAGAAAGGAAAGGAGATAACATCAACTCAGATATTTTCAGGTGAAGAGAAGAAACGGTGCTCACTTTGGATGGGGCTGACTTTCTCAGAAGGTTTGGTGCCAGAGTCAGGAGGAGTTAGGAAGTTTGCCAGCCAGCTGTGAGTGTTGTTCTAGTAATTTGTACTGGGCCACGAGGGTAGGGTTTCAGGATTTTTCAACATTAGGTGTACTGCCTGGGAGCAGGAATGGGAGAGAGAGAATAATGGTGATTCAGAATTGGAGATTGAACCAGTGTGCTTGGGGAAGGGTCGACAGAGGAGTCAACAGTTAAAAGGTAATTTTGGGGGTGAGGGTGGAAATGGAATAAAAAAGGAGGAACAGACCACCTGAAAAAACCCGAAAAAAGAGATGTGTCTGCAAGGCTTAGAGAAACAGAAATGGGTACAGTGACATGGACCAGATGCTGAAACTCTCTCCCTGCCTTAAAAAAAGGAAACTCTCAAGTGACAGGTTATTTGGGGTTTTCATGGAGAATTTGCAAGGAAAATGGCTGAATTTAGTTTTAAAATAGAAAAAGTGAAGTTCTCTTAAAAGGTTCTTGTGGCCTCTTGCAGGAGATGGAGGGAAGAAGGGGAGAAGCAGACAGTTGATGGAACCAGAAGCACAAGAATTTTTAACTTTTTTTGACTTGAGCTGTGTACTTCGTTGGTTATTTTTCAGCGTGGCCCTTGTATTATGTCTTCTCAGGTCCTCTCCCAGTGCACAGAGGAACAGTAGGCTGACTGAACACTCTCCCAAGAAGGGGCAAAAGGATAAAATCAGGCAGTGTAGGTGGCATGTGTTAAGTTTAGGGAATTGCTGTCCTCTTGTGGCCAATCCTGGAAACAACAGCCAAGAAACTTGTGTTCTAGGGCTGTGTCTTTTTAGTGTTTTCCAGATCAGCAATCAGCAACACTTGGGGAATTTGTTAGAAATGTAGAATCTTGGAATTCATTCCAGACCTACTGAATTAGAAAATTTGCTGAAGCCCATGCCCAGTCTGTCTTAACAAGCCCATCAGATGATTCTGATGATGCTGAAAGGTTGGAAACCACTATTCTCAACCTAGCTAAAAATCCCCACCCTCCCTTTTCATCTCCCCACAAAATGTAATCTAGTATCTAATATAGAATAGCAGAACTTCCTATTTAAATTTAATCCTCCCCGTGTTCTGGAAAAACTTCCTGTCTCCCTAGGAGTGTTTTTTTAAATATACTTTTCTTTCTTGGCTGCACAGCACAGCTTGCACGATCTTAGTTCCCCAACCAGGTCTCAGCAGTCAAAGTGCTGACTCCTAACCACTGGATCACCAGGGAATTCCCATCCCTGGGAATCTTACTCCATCAACTACGCCCTCAATACCTAGCCTTAAGATCTGAAAATAACTGAGTCTACAAGCAGCAGACCTGTTTCCCACTACACTGCTCTTTGGGAATAAGCTGTCTAGTCTTAATAAAATTTTTCCACTGGAGCTGCTCATCTTGCAAGAATCCATCTGTTTTTCCTTCTTTCCATCCCTAGGAACTGCTCTTTGATCTTTCTTTCTTCACTTACTCTTATCCCTCTACTAAGCTAGTCACAGGGCTGGTAGGATCAGCTAGAATCAACATGCCTATACCTCCTGCAGTTCAGGTGATCTGTGAGCTCTGCCCTCCCCAGCGTTCGACTGCATGCCACCTACCCTGTACCGTGTGTGGTGTTTATAGTCAAAGCACTTCTTCACCTGTGTTTCACTTACCAAAAACAAAGGATTGAAAACCACACTCCAGAGGTATTGATGAACCTTTGACCACAGCTGATGATGGGTTTTTTTTTAACAGAGTCCAAACACACCAGAGGTTAAATACTTCTCTTTCCGCTGTTTATTATTAATGTACAAAATATACAAAACCAAAAGAAAAAGAAAATACTCATCCTCAAATCCATTGTGGCTCTAACCCAAGACCCTGCACAAAACCTAACCAATCCACTGTTTTCATAGAAAACAACTGATGCCGAGACAGGTGAAGGAGAGGACTGGGAGAGGGAAGGTCATCTTATCGAATCCACCCAGGAAGGTACCTGGCTGGGGATTCAGAGGTGGCTGACAGGGCAAGGGAGCTGGAGGCCTCACACCTACGAGGTTCCAGATGGGGACCAGGAGCACGCTCACTCCCAGAGGCAGTGCATGTAGTGTGACTGTCAGGCCTAGCATGCCAGGCTTCAGGTGATAAAAAGCTGGTCTCACTGTTTTAGTTCCCAGGAGCTGTAGGCAAGGGTGGACCACCACCATGGCCTCACCTCTGCCAGCTAAAACTTTCATGGGCTGCAGATGTGATTTGCCATCATTGAACCTAGCACACCCAAGGCGCAAACCTGAGTGTCCTTGAAGATTGCAAAAGTCTCACTTGAGAAAGGACTCAATGTAAAAAGCCTGTGTTCAGGGAGGGGTGGGGATGATGTATTCCAGAACTCAAATCCAGTCTGATTGAGCCCTCTCAGTGCAGTGGGGTACATGGTACCCCTTTACATCCCCACCCATGGGGAAATGAACGTGGCTAGGAGAATTTCATAAGTGCAGCTGATCCCACGTCAGAGTTCCGTGTGCATGTGGAAAACCCACAGCAGGAAAGCAGAGGTGTTCTCCAGGATAACCAGCTTTAGGTTCTCAGGCGTGAAGGGTAATACCGGAAAGGGGCTTAGGATACAGGGCAAAACTCCTGAAAAAGTGAAGCCAACTGGGTCTCCTCTTCAGCAGTCCAGGGTACAGAATGTGTCCAGTCTCTCTCCTCCCCAGACTGGAGGAAAATATGTACATCAATGCGCACCAGTGATCAGAAAACCCCCAGAACCCAGGCGTGTGGGCACTGAGGGGGCCGGCTCCTCATCAGCTGGGGGAACGGGGAAATGGGCCTCACAGAAGCCGTAAAGAGTGGAAGGAGCAAGGCTGCAGTCCACAGGGTGTGTGGGCGGGGCGGGCAGATGGTCCCTAGGGCAGGGGGGGCCCGTTGACACCCGGGTGGTAGAAGGCACAGTTGTTCTCATAGCGGCAGTTGCCCTTCATCATGAAATGTCGACACACAGGGCGGTTTGACATGTCTGTGGGGACAAGGATGGAATCGTTAGACAGGAAGGCTCAGAAGTCGATGCCACGCATCCCCCCAGTCCAAGGCATCCCAAGTGCCGTCTTTCAGAGACCTAGTCTTGGGGACCTGGGAGAAGGGCAAAACGGGCATGCTGGGAACTGGGAGTGAGGTGACCTCATGTTCTGCCTGACACACCCCCAGTAGTGAGGGCCCCCAGAAACTTGTACGAGATACCAAGAGCTGTATGGGGGCACAGGGAGCATCCTCACCTCCTCCGTGGCTGTGGCCACCATCATGCCCTCGGTGGCCCCCTCCTCCATGGCCAGGGCCATCATGGCCACGGTGCTCGTGAGGGGGTGGCCCTCGGTGGTCGTGTCCTCGGTGACCAGGGACATCATGAGGCCGGTGGCCATGGGGCCCCCCGTGTCCAGGGCCTTCATGGGGCCGATGGCCACCACCAGCACCCATTCCTCCACCAGGGCCTTCATGGGGGCGATGTCCACTGCCTCCACCCATGCCACCGCCGGGGCCTTCGTGGGGGCGGTGCCCCCCACCCATGCTACCACCAGGGCCTTCGTGGGGGCGATGCCCACCACCCATGCCACCGCCAGGGCCTTCATGGGGACGATGTCCGCTGCCACTGTTCATGCCGCCACCAGGGCCTTCATGGGGACGATGTCCACCGCCGCCAACCATGCCCCCACCAGGGCCCCCTCGTCCATTTGGGGGTCCGCCTCCAGAGCGACCTCCTCTGGCCCCCCGGAATGGAGGAGGAGGAGGAGGAGGTTCATTTCCTCCTCGGCCACCACGGCCTCTATGGTATGGCCCAGGGCCAGGTCCTGGCCCGCCCCGCATCGGGCCACCCCGCATAGGGTCACCTGGGCCATCCCAGAAGGGGTCGCCCCCCCGGGGAGGGGGTGGGGGACCCAGGAGACGTGGACCCACTGGCCCACCAGGGCCCCCAGGGCCTCCATGGGGACCTGTTAGGAGGGGAAAAAAGGGAGAGATAATGTCAGCTACCTGAATTATACCTAGAGACCACCATCTCCCAACCTAAACCACCCCCAGGTATGGTCAACCCTGTGCTGTTACCAGGCCCAAATCCAGCAGACAAGCCCCTTCCAACCGCTTGCTCTCCACCTACCTGACATAGGCCCCCCAGGTCCAGGGGGGAAGTGCTGCATGCCCTTGGGGCCCCCAGGGCCTCCAGGTGGGAAACCATTGGCTATCGGACCAGGGCCTAAGAGTCCATGTGGCACTGTTGAATGAGGAGTGAAGCAGTCAGCAAGAGGATTTGAGAAGAGCGGCATGATGTCCTCTCGCTTAGGTGCATCCAGCCAACCTTTCCAACCAACCTGGCAGAGCACCGCTCTCTATCCAGTCTTCCCCTCCCACGTCTTGCTGCCTAGTGGCAACACCCGTGCTCCCCCAAGTCCACTGCCGGTCCCCTAGCCCAGGCCTGGGGGCCGGCCCTGAGGATTACCCAGCATCTGCTTGATCTTGTCTGAATAGTCTGCTTGCTTCAGCAGTTCTTCTGAGGGATGACTGTTGGGGCTACCCTGTAAGGCAAGGACATTAAGGACAAGGTCAACAGAGGACAAGGCTAACACCCTGAGGCGGAAACAGACAGGAAGGTGAGCAGAAGGGGCATAAAGAGCAAGGAAGACAGGAGAGGGGCAGGAGGGAGGCTCGTACCATGATGGAGGTGAGGATCTCCTGCACGTTGATGCCCCCTCCTCCAGGACCCTGGGGGCTCTTCCCGGCACCCATGCTTCCCATAAGATTAGCCAGAACTGGAGGCAACTTGGAACCACCTGCTCCGTCAGGTGAGCCACCGGCTCCCCCAGGTTCCAGGGTCTCAACATATGGGGTCTCATCCATGGAACATTCCTGGAAGAACAAGTGGACAATCAGGACCAACAAGGAATGAAGAGACTGTCTCACATGAAAGAGGCATTAATACAATCACAACCTCCATCAGCACGCAATACTCACCTCATCTAGGGGTATGAGCTTTGGGGGGATAGGCTCATAGGGCTCAGGATCAGGCTCATGAGGACTGTCAGGAATGCCGCAGGAGATAGAAAAAAATAAAAGAATGACAGTCAAATTATTTACTCAGGCCCTCCACTTTCTTCCTAACCCCCACCCCCTTCTAATAACCTCAAGGCCCACTGCCCTCAAGGGCTCAATACCTCAGGGAGCGATCCCCCTCCTGCTCACCTTTCCTTGTTCAGGAAGAGCTCCTGAAGGATCCCCTTCTCCCGCTCAGCCTGGATGTACCGCTCCTGGCTGTTGCTTCCAGGGGTGACGAGGGGCGAGGGCAGCACCAGGGGCCGGGGGCACACCCAGGGCACCTTCTCCTCCATGTTGTCATGGCTCAGACGCCGGGCCGTCTCAAATGCATGTCGGTCTGACAGTATCTCTCGCTTAGCTGCTTCACCGAAGTCCTTGATCTTATTCACATTTACTATCATCCAAGAGAAAAAAAGCAAGAGGGGAAAGTAAGCCCTACCAAGTCCATTTACCAACCAAATCCTTCAACCCCACCTCCTACAGAGGAAATTGGATCGCTCACCTCGCTCAGTCTCATCCAGTTCAAAATAGAAATACTCTCTCAGCTTGCCCTCCTCCGGCCACGTCACAGTTTTCCTCTTCTTGCCTTTCCGGGTCAGCTGGCTAGGATCACCGGGACTCTCCACTGGCTTCACATCCAGAGCTCCTGGCTCCAAAGAGGCTGGAAGCAGAAGTGATTTCAGACCAGTCCCTTCCTTTCAAAGAACCCCCAAACCTGATCCACGTTCTGAACTCACCAGTATCCATGAGCTCCGGGACTTCAACAGGCGGAACTGGGGTCCCAGGACGTTCTGTGTCCATAGCCTCGGGAGGTGCTGGCTCTGGGGAAGAAGGTTTGGCCGCACTTGGTTCTGTGCTTGTTTTTCCTTCAAATGGGCTCGGCTATTGTGGAAGAAAAGAAGTCACTGAGCACACAGGAACGGCAAGGTCAAGGCAGGGCAATTCGTTCAGGTTCCAGGAAGGATCCCTGGACACTTCCGGTCAAGGAAGACTGTCTCTGACAACGCTCTGCCGCCACCAGTCTACGTCTGAGACGCCTCCTGCCTTCCACAGGCGCTCTAAGCTGCTGGGCCCTTCCTCTCCCTGTATCTTCTCTACCTGGTCACTGGTACCTACGGCCCAGTGCCCGTACCTTGGCAGCTGTGGGTGACAGCACCTTCTTCTTCTTCTTAATTTTGATGCCTGGGACAGGGGCTGAATTGAGTGCATCCAGAAAGCCCAGGCCCTCCATAGCTGCAAAAGAAAAAAAACATAAAATAGCATCATCAGACCTCTTCATGAGCCTATTCTTACAAAATCTGAGCAGAAAGTTGGTCAATAGAAACGCTGCCTAAATGTTGGACACAATAAGCTTAAGGTGAGCAGGAAGTGTATGTAAGAGGATTTGCACAAGAAATTCTTGTCATTCTTTCTTTCTTTCAAAGGCAGGCAAGCCATGGCTCTGGATATGAATCACAGCTCAAGTAAGTGACAAAGCCAGTCCCCACGAACGTGACAGCTGGGAGCACCCCAACCCGTCACTGAGTAGCAAGCCTCCCTATTCCATCTTTCAAATCACTCCTAAGCCATCCTCTGAATGACTCCCATGGAGGGAATTTCTGAGGTACACACATTAAAGGACACCAAGAAATCAAATGAAAATGGAGAAAAGCGTTTCATTTCCATGAAGAGTTGGCTCCCAATTCAAAATACATCCTCCCACTTTAGACTCACGCTGTGGTGGGATGATCTTCACTTTGATCTCTTTGGTGGCATTGGGTGTTGTGTTGAGTGGTTTGTATTTCTTCTCTGCAAGAGGGGCAGCATCTCCTGGGGCAGCTGCAGAACTGTGAGAAAGGGAACGGTCAGCACCAGACTTACCCCTTCCTTCACCCTCAGGGCCATAGACACCAACCATTCAGAACCCAGAATGTGGTCCATACCTCTGACGCTTGAGGGGGATAGGTTTAAGGTTGTACTTGTCAGAAACCACCACTGCACTGGCATTCTTCTTCACGGGCACCAAAGATGGGGTCTCAAGCTCTAGTCCTGAGGGAAAAGACCTGGTGTTGGAGATGGACTGTTCCTCCCTTAACCTTCATCAAAGCGTATAAACCCCCGTGATGCTTCACCCACTAGTGTTCCGTCTTCTTCAGAGTTACGGTAGAAGTCTGTAGGCTCGGATGTGTACCTACCCACAGACCCTCCAGAGGCCAGAAGACAGTCTTACCGGTGGAGCGGAACTTGGCGTGACTGGGCGCTGTGGTGCGGAGAGACTTGGGCTTCTCCCTCTTCTTTTCCGGGGCCTCCTCAGCCCGAGTCTCAGCCTTCACCTCAGTCACCGGTCGCTCAGGAGGGGTGGTTCGACTCTTTCCCTCTTCTTTCCGTTTCTTCTTATCTTTCTCTATTGTGGAAAAACAGAGAAGAAAAGGATTTTATTTAGACAAAGAGAAAGACTGTCAGAAGTAAAAAGCAGGCTGTGGGCATGGAAGGCCGCAACCCAGTGGGAAAGAAAGAAAGAAATCCAAGGGATCAAGGGCCAAAGAGCTTACCAGCAGGCTGGGTACTGCTCTGGGAGCGGATGACCGCCATCCAGTCGCTGACAAGGACTGAGGCCAATTTCCGGAGTTCTGCAGGTAAGAGAAAGAGGAAATGCCTAAGTAATGTAACATACTGCATGGAGATTCAAGTCATAAAACTAGAAGATGGCAGAATAAACCCGTGCCTGTGCTCTTCCCCTAACCACTTATTACAATAAAATCAGGAGAAAGGTGGGTAGAGTTCAAGTATCCGAAGGGCTATTAGATTTAAAAAGAAACTGTATTAGTCTACCTCATCCTAAAAGGAAACTTAATGCAAAATTTCATGGAGGCACATTCAGATCCTCTTAAAAAAGTATTTTCTAGGCAACCTTTTTTTCCTAGAATGCTGCTAGTGACAACAGCTTTTTAAAAAATCAATTAGATGTTGCAAGAGTGAGAAAAGAAACTGAAAAACAGACCAATTTAGGATGAATGAAACAGTTTATCTAGTGAAAAAAGATGGTCAGAGAATTTAAAGATAAAAAACACTTCTAAATACATGGGGGGAAATGCCTTTGTTGCCCTTTCTTTCCTTCTGTACTTGGCAAATAACATCTCCTATCTACAGGATCTCTTTCCAGGCCAGTGTTCCAATTATGGGCTCATTCAATGATGAGACTATTGTAGAACACCAGAACTTTTCGAAACAGTCACAAAACTGGTAACTTCTATACCTAATGCAGTATGAATCCAGTGCATCCCCAATGGAGGAATATAATAACCTAACATCTTTGGGGAGCATCTGATACTGTGATCCAGGGACACAGTTGATAAGCAATGTACAAACTTCAGTATCTAAAGTCAGCACAGAATAATGAAGGCAGCACAATTAAGCCAGCTGAAAGAGGAACTAATACACCCTAGCAGATAATCAAAAGATGGACAATGATTTAACAGGATCTTTCTGTGTTATAGACCATCCTACAAAACTACTCTGAGATGTCACAAAAATAGTGAAGTGCTCATCATATAAAAGGATGGAAAGCCAGGGAATACTTTTCACTTAAACAACACAATGTGAGTTAAAACAAAATCAAGATCGTTTATCCTGGAAAATGTTCCCAGGGTTTTCTGCTCCAGCTAATGAAACTACAGATAGGCCTGCTCAGGCCTGGATGTTCCCACCACACCAAAGCCATAGCCTCTTTCCAAAGGGACCAAATACATCATTGCCCACAGACAAAGAGCAAGCCTATATTCTGACCCGGGGATCAGCTCTGCTGCAATACTGTTCACTTGTGGGAAACTAGTGTATCCTGTGCTCCTGGTTTACATCTTGGGTAAAAAAATTTGGGGTGAACTCTTGGATGGATGTAAATCCTTTTTTTCTCTAAAGAAAAGCCAGCTACTTCCTTGGTGGCACAGTGGATAAAGAATCTGCCTGCCAATGCAGGGAACACAGGTTCAGTCCCGGGTCCAGAAGATTCCACAGGCTGTGGAGCAACTAAGTCCATGCGCCACAACTACCGAAGCCCATGCGCCCAGAGCATGTGCTCCAAGATGCAGAGTAGCCCCTGCTCACCCTAACTAGAGAAAGCCCGTGTACAGTAACGAACACCCAGCACCACCAAAATAAATAAATTAATTAAAAATACAAAAAAGAAAAGCCGTAACTGTATGACCCTTGCCAGGAGCTCCAAAACCCTTTGTCCTAGAAAAGGAAAGAATCTGTTGCTATCAAAGCTAAGATATACCCCAGGAGTTGCGATTCTGCCATGCCCTAACAGCAGGGTGTTTACTGGGAAAACTGGCATGTATGTTGTTAGGAAAGGACAGGCCCTCACCTTCATCATCACTCGACTTGCTCAGCTGCTTCACCAATTTGGCTGTGTTGTTCTATCAAAGATAGGGAGGAACAGGATGGTAAGTGACAGGAGGAAAAGCTGCCCCCTTAGAGCTCACCACCCCCACAGATTCACTCAGTCTCTCAACAGCCACTAACACTGCACACTCTCTTGTACAAAGCCCTTGGAGACATATTCTTACTCTAAATCAACCCACTTAGGTAAGTTCAATCGCTCTAATTTTACAGATGAAAGAACTGAGGCATGGATATACACATTGCCCCATGTCATACACCTATTAAAGGGGACAGATTTGAACCAAATCTTGATTCCAAATTCCTACTACTTTTTTTAACTATTCTACCTCACAGGTCCAAGACTGCAGCCACATCAGAATGGATGTGGGTTTTTCATCTGTTAGGCTAAACCAAAATGGAAGAATCAGGATTCTAAAGACCAAAGGTACCTGTTTGAGATGGTCAACAGTGAGGGGCAGGTGCTGCAGGGTCAGCAGAATTTGCTGTAAGAGGGGAATGTTGTTGGTCGTCTTCGAATATGTCAGCCAATTGTTAAGAAGCTTATAACCGCCGACGTCAATAAACCTGCAGGCAAGCAGGGGGATCTGTGATGCCCTTCCTGGGCCTTGGGAATACACCCCACCCTCCTTGTCCCCCTTCAGTGACTGAGGAATTCCATGCCTCACCACCCCACTTCTAACTACATCTCCCCATCCCAGTCACCCAGGTCCCCACTTACTTGACCAGTACTTCTTGTGAACGGGTCTGCAGGAGAATGTTCAAGTACGTGCACCGACTCACCATCTTTCGTGCCTCTTTCATCAGGCTGTAAAAGAGGAAGTGCAGTTAGAAATGAAGGGTGTCTAATCTGAAGTGCCCAGAGATTCCTGAGAACTTGGGATTCTGCTCCCGGGTTGGGGAATCGCACAGGCCCCCAGAAGGTTGGGGTGGATTAGGGGAGATGTGGAAACCCCCAGAAGGGTGGAACACAATGGAGAAGATGCACTGAAGTCTCCAGTCTGGGGAGGTGGGTGTCCCTGCTTCCCCCACACACAGGACATGTCTGATGCTGCTTCCGGGTGAAAGCCTTTGCCTTCAACTACCATCTCTTAGGACTGATTCAGTCCCAAGTTGCTTTCTCCTGGAAAACGTGAGGATCCCTGAAAGAAAACATAAATAAACCAAGACTCCTGTCACCTGGCTCCTCTGCTTCCTTCCTTCGCTTGGGACTATGGCTCTCTAAATATCCAGAGGCCATTAGGGCCAGGGGCCAACTTTACTATCACCAGTTCTAACATAATTAGATTTGAATCCTAGTCCATTGACTCCCACTCCTCTCAGGAACACACTCCACTATCTGCCTTAAGGATAGTCATGTTACAACACACAATAGCCTCTACTCACAACAAATTCAAAGGGTACAGACTCACCTGAAGATTTTCGAAATCCCATCCACACTCTTGACTTCCCCATCTCGGTTAAGGAAACTATCCAGGCCCTTGAGAAGCTCTTTGGGGTCTATGGGACCCGAACCCATGATCAAAGTTTTCTAAGAGAATAAAACAAAAACAAAGAATAAATGGGTGGCCAAGGACAGCTCCAACTGTCTCTAATAAATTCCATTTCTTCATTTGACAGATTAGCAGCAACTAATTATTCATTCTACATTCAACTATATTCACCTTTACCCAGATAAGAAAAATCAACATAGACCATTGTCCCCACTATGAAAACAGCCCTGGCAAGTGAAGCACTGTTTACATTGACTGAAGGAATAATAATTAGGCTGGAAGACTGAGGCAGCACCTGTCCTCTTGCTCCAAGTGACATCCTTCCTAGGATAGCTGAACTTCACAATGTATCATAGGTAAGGTTCACATTCCCAAAACACTCAACTCTCCAAGGCATTTTTGCTTATTATGTATGGTTTCTCCTTAGTTGTTAATGAATCTACCTTAAAACACCCCCCCCCCCAAAACTATCAGCTTGAGAAGAACTGGGCCAATCAGGGGTGTTGGACTAAGTGTCTTCCATGAGTCAATTATTTTCTGTCTTAGCTCAGAGTCAAATGCCACAGGTGGCAGGATAAGGTATGTTTCCATCAGTAGATAATCATTCTAAGCTGTAGGTCAAAGAGAAGGAAATAAAACTTGAAAACAGATCCTCTCCCCCATGGGAGTTAGGGGTGGCTCCCAGAAATCAGACAACTGGAGGTAACGAAAATCAAGCAGGTCCTCCTAAGCCCTAAAAAAAAAAGGTCCCTCATTAATCAAACACTGCACAAGTTTTTATTGTTTCAAAGTTAAGGACAAGATTAGTTTGTGGTTTCAAAAGCAAAGAAGAGGCTCTGACTCCTAACTCCCCACCTAAATCACACCACCACCTACTATCCCTGAGGAGGGCCTGAAATTAGAAACCATGAAGCCAAAAAGAAAGGAACAAATAAAACCAGAAGCTGGGAAAATGCCATTAAATTTTTAGTAGCTACTTTAGACCAGGTTAGAAAAGGAGTTAATTAAAAGCTAAACACAGCTGTTTTGGAACAGAGAAGAGTGAAGCCATTTCTAGGCCAGAACCCAAGTTCAGGAGACGTAATTTAGAATCAGTATGGTTCTGATTAGGATTTTTATCCACAGTGCCCCTAAACACTGGCTTCTGAAAGGCAGAAAAGGCACCTTAGTAATATCGACATCTGGGAAACAAGACACTGGGTAGGAAGATGGCAAGGTGAAAACAGCCTCCTGCATCTAGTGCAAAGACAAAGACAGGAAACAGTGGTGTTCTACAAAGATGACTATGCTTCTGCAGAAAGCAGGCTTCTTTAGAGATCACGTCAAATAGTGATATTTAGTCTCAAGCCAAAAGAGAAAAACAAGCATAACAATCTCAACCTTTTACTCTTCCCAACAAAAAAGTCAATAAATTGCTAAATTTCCAGGTCCTAACAACTTAGGCCAAGAAGAGGCAGAGCAGGGGTTGGGGATGGCAGTGGTGGAGAGACCTGGTTCCCGAGACCAGAACCTGTGAGCTGAACACAAGGAGCGAAGAAAGGTGAGCAAATCTGGGGTAACTGCTGTTGCTGCTGCCCTGGAATCTCCACAAGGGCAGGTAGAACCTAAGGTCAGAGGAAAAAACATTCAAGTCCAATACCAGATAAATTAGAAGTCCACAGGCCAAACCCACTGAAGTGTGGTGACTCTTACACACAGAGACAGACATGAGGATATAGGAATTTTCCCCAGGTAGTATGGCACTATAAAGTGATAGACACAACAAAGGAATACATCAAACAGACTTCCCATGTGCTAGAGACTGGAAAAGCAAGAGTGACTCCCAAGTAATATATATCATTAAGTAACCAATGATACGCCATTTGAAAAAAGCTTTCCATGTAACTTCATTTCAAACCAATACCCCCTAAATATAGCTAGACCCTCAGATTCAAAGCCAGAGCTGAATACACAGCACCTTGGAAAAGTCCCTTTTGCACCACCAGTTAGGCCAACAGACCCATATGCCCTACTTCCTTCACAGACACACATAAAAAAACCTGTCACTTGAGCTCAAATGTTCCTTTACTTAAGGTGGGAGATTAGAGAACCTTTTTTCGAGAGAAACCAGTGAGCACACGGAGAAACTCTGTCCAGTGCCTTCTACCAGGAATGGGACTAGGACAACTTTTTATTTTCCAATCATAGCAAGCAAGAATAAAAGACAATAGCCAAGGAAAGCTAGAAGACAAAGCAGAAGAAATGTTAAACATTCATTTTGCACTACAGTTTTCCTATTATTTGTATTCTGGAAATAGAATTAAACTTATCTCACAAAGAATCATGTGGCTTTAAAATCTAGGTGAATTTTCTCATAATGGTTTTTCTTCAGGGGAAATAGCTTTCACTCACTTAGAAGGACCCCAAGTGGCTTACAACCTAACTGCCTTATTTTGAAGTAAGTACATTTAGAAAGAAGGTCCAAGGCACTCAAGTGGAAAGGAATGAAGAGCCTAGAACTCTGGCACAGGCCTACAGCAGAAAAAGGCAAAGGAGCTGACCAGGAAAGGAGGGGCAGTGACCATGTGTCATAACACATCAGGAAGCCTGGAAGGAAAGCTTAAGGAAGTTTTCTGGCAACTAAAATAATCCAGGGCATATGTTTTGATGTCCTTGAAGGCAAAACATATAGGAGGGTGGCGGGCAAGCAACCTCTGGCATCATCTCTACTTTGTCCTAAACCTGGGCTCTCCCTTCGGAGAATGTTGCTGGCAGAGACATGCAGACACAAGGCCCTGGGCAATGTTCAACTTTTCTTACCAGAGATAAAATTAAGTCCAGAAGTGACACCAACTCCTGCCTCCAAAATAAACTTTACTGAAGAATTATCAAATAAGGTGAAAAGTTATCTACCCTAGCTAGTTATTCCGTACCCATCACCAATGAATCAGAACTGAATTGGTTCAGGACAAAAATTCTATGCAAGTTTAAAATCACTACTCAAAGGAGGAAGGAGTCCAAGTTTAACTTATGAGGCCTCAGGACTTCTGGAAATGAAGTTCTTTGTAGCTTACATTCCCCAGCTTCCTAAGGCAACTGATGCATTTCCCAGTCTGTCTCCACAGTGAACTGAATTATGTCTCAGGTGATTCACAAGGTTGCACCTCTCAAATAGAAAGCCCCTCCCCTTCAAAATCATTCTGGAAAGCTGGTAGCCCCTGCCCTCCTCCAAAGCTTATCTGCTTTTCAATAAAAGTGTAAAGTCAGTTCCCAACCCACAGGACAGGGTCCCAGGATAGAACTCTGGCCACAAACTCTAATGATCGGGTTGTCCGACGTTCTCGGGATGGATGTGGGTCCCCTAGGAGACCTTTTTCCCATCTCCCACGTTAAGGCAGATCTTCTTTATTATTATCCCCTGCTCACTAGAGATCAGGAACCCCAGTGGGTAGAATGTTCAGCTCCCAAGGTAGGTATGCTGCAGAGGCACATGGCAAACTGCTTAAAAGATAAAAAACTTGTGGTCAATAGGACATGTGGAAGAGTCCCTCCCACCAATCCAGAAGCTGAGTCATTCGAGAATCCATACCCAACAGAAAATTAGCCCTATAGTCTCACCAAGTCAGCACAAAGCAATTGTACAAAATTGCTTTCCAATTCAGTCTAGACCCTTCACAGCTTCAGGGCAAGACTTCAAAAAATGAAAACTGTATGTAGAGTCTGATTAAGATTTGACTTGGAAAAACTTGAGAGGAAGAAAGGTAAGAATGGGACAAGACCCTTAATACCACCCTCAACTCGGGCATGGTTTTCAAACATGCACCAAAGGCTACAGCACTGCACAAGCTGAAAAACGAGGACATTATTTTCCCACTGTATTCAAGGAATTTTAGACGGGAAGAAAAAAGAAATTCAAAAAAGGGTGGCTCTTTGGGAAAAAAAGAAATGAAGATTGTGAAATGTAATACCAGAAAGGTTTTGCTTACCAGAAACCGTAGCTTGAATCCCCCTGCCTTGAGCTTACACCTGCCGCCTCCTTTCCTAAAGATTCACTTCTCATCTTAGTACCAGTGTACAGGAGCTAAGCAACTGGAGAACTGGGATACAGCACTGAACACAAAGAGCTTAACCCCAAACCCAGAGGCGGGAATAAGGGCCATTTAGAAGTAAGTCCTGGAATACCCACTCTCCCCCAGATTTTCATTATACAAATCGACCAAACGCAGGAGGCCCAAGGACTGACTGATTCCTGAGCACAAACGGCACATTTCAGGGTCATTAGGCCCGTTGTTTACTCCTGTTACTTTTTTACAATCTTTGTGTTTTCCCCCAACATACACTCACACACACACACACCCGCTAAAGCTTCCAGTCCTAAAATACAGCTGTTTGACTGGTTTTCCACCCCAGGCAACTAAAGCAGGGAAAACTTCCAAGCAGTAGTGATGAGTGAGAGGGAGAAAATAAAAGCAACAGGCTCGGGATCCTTATATACAAAAACTAGAGCTGCCCAAGGAGACAGCTTCAAGATCTAATTGCTACAAGCTTTTTTCCTTTTAAGATAATGGTTACAAAAGATTAAAGAACATAAGGAAAATGGCTTTTCCCGTCTAGCAGCAGCGTGCATGAGGAATCCAGAAGGCATCTGCTCGGGGGCGGGGTTTCGACAGGGTGGAGAAACGAGGAAGAAAGCTGATTACATCACCTTTCAGGGCGGCTCCTCCCCCTTGACCAAGTTTCTAGGGCGGCCCTAAGCTCTGGATGGCAAACGGGGAAGGAAAAACAAAGAAGCTGGGACGCCATTTTGTAATGGAGAAGAGGACTCAAACTTAAAAGCTATCCAGGCTCCGCCGGTAGCTCTTTACATTTTAAAACACTCCTTTTTAGTAAAAAAGAAAAAAGCAGCCCCATCCTGAAGAGTCTTTGACCTATTTTGAATCAATAAGAGCTATGTGAGAATACAAGCAATTAAAATATTTAAAAGAACAATTTTCTGCTGGGAGGAACTGAATTTGCAATTGAGGTTCAACTTGCTACTAACGACCAC